CAATTCCATGGCATTTGTCTATCTAGTGATATAATGGTGTAATTAAGACAGATTTGTGTTATTCTAATCAGGTTTGTTGTTAGTTACACATTAGCAGTATAAATGCAAACTTATGCAGTATGAACAGCAGTTTTAGCAATTGATCGAAAATTGCATGATTTTGTTTTTTAATAGAATGGCTTTTTAAAAGTATTGTTTTAGGCTTCATCTTTAGGGCTTTGTTCTGTTGATTTTGACATAGCAAGGCCAAAAAATAATTTTCTGAAATGTTGCAGAAACTGTAAGCAAGAGGACAGTTTTTCCTGTTTGGGTAGAGTTTGGCTAACTATTTTTGGAGAGCTTTATAAGTATGGTAATAATATCATTAGCTCTGAATTAAAATAATTGTTTACCATATCAGTTCCTGTGAAATGGTTCCTTTGCTGATTTTCTACCAAATTATACAATAATTTACATTTAAACCTAAAATTGAAGATAACAGTATCTTACATAAATTGAAGCCTATGCTATAAAGGAAAAATAGCAGAAAATTATTTGTGGCCATAATGTATGCTTACGTCTCCTTCAAACAGCTAAATATGATAGCAATGGTGTAATTCAGTCTACATCTGCCTGTTGATGTATACTTTGGTTCACAGGTGTGATTTGTTACAACACTACAGTTGAATACACAAATAAAGACTAAAAATGTACTAAGTGATGTACTATTGATTGTACACTCAGGACAGATACTCCTATTATTAGTTACACTAATTTATCATATATCAATTTAGCAATGTTCATAATATTCCTAAAACTGCCCTTGGAAATATGACATTTTGAATCAGTCTAATTTCAATAAACTACCTTAAGCTTTCTATTCCAATCAGATTGCAAAATTCTTGATCCTTCAAAATGTTTGAATGTGCCATGCCCATTGCCTTGAGCTTTTGCAGGAAAGACAAAATACACTTCTAATAAGAGTATAAATAAAATCATCAGCTGCTATGAATTTCTCCCTCACATAAAGTTTGAGAGTTGAATTTCCAGACACTTTTCTGAAACTATCTGGAAAAAAATTATCTAAAATACTATAAGCGTTAATTGATTCTTCAGAAACAAATCTGGGGACAAGATGCATCATACTTCCTTGAATAGTAAAATATATTGATTATAACTATTTTGCATCTTAATATGTGGACAATATAATGCACATAAGTCAAAATAATATGTGCATATGTCTGGTGATGTGCAACTGGGTTTTTGGGGGCTGGAATTAATTTCTGTTCCTTAAGAGGAAAATTCTCTGTCCCTAGTAAAATAAATAAATAAATAAATAAATAAAGAGTCGAAAAATGAGGAATCTTTCCATCAGTAAGATACATGTGTAAATATTTTCCATAGATGAAATTCATTCCAATGAAGAAAGTACTGGTTGCCTTTACAGTATGTTTATCCTTATAGTAGGCAGTTTCAGATAATGACATTTCTGAACCAAGCATTAGTGCAGCCTCTCTTAACAAACATAAGCAAAATAACCAATTTGCTGGTGTATATGTAAAGAGTTAAAGATGAATAGCAGCTTTTTAGAGAGTAGGGAAAAAATGTGCCAAAGCTAATTAGAATCCTGCCGGTTTTGTACTATTCCTTTGTTTCATTTTGTTAATTAAAGATGATGGAGAAGGGGAGGTTCATATCAGTTTAATTTTTTAATCTTGGTAAAGCTTTTGTATAAATTTAGTTCAAGTAACTGTTAGCTAGCTTTTATCTCTTGCATTCTTTTTTTTCCCCAATCTCACTTCAATTTAAGTGAGAAGCTCTTTAAGAACAAAAGCATTTATTTATGCTTATTCTGGTAGTTGAGTCATGACAACTGGACTTCTTTTCTGTTGGTTAGAAACATGACACATGATCAAAATCTGCTTAGCAACCAACATGTATCCATAAGAGTAGCAACATCCCGGGATCATGTGATCACCATTTGTGACCTTCCCAGCTGATTTCTGATAAGGGAAGTCTAATGGGAGAACTTAACCCCCATCCGAGTAACTTGCTTAACAATCAGGTGCAACTACTCACTTAAAAATCACCTTGCTTAGCAATTGAAATTGTGGTCATAAGTTAAGGACTGCTTGTATAAAAATTCAGATAGCTTGCCTCCAAAAACAAAATTAAATCAGAACATCTGGGTTTATATGGATTTAGTATTTTTTGGCCGGATTATAATGAAATAGATTGCTGTTTACTGAAAAGATATGTGGAATAAAACCTTCCATGCATATATCAGTAGAAGACTGCTCTGGCCATTGATGTATATGCTGTACTAGCCTTGAAGTTTTGAATGTGAAGGCCTAAAAATTAGATTGCAGATTTGAACAGCTTTGACTGGGAATACGTTCCACTGAATGAAGTAGGGCTTCTCAGTAAATACAAATAAGATTAAGCTGTGACTATACATAGATATGAATTTTTAAAACTTGGATGAAACTTTGTTTTCTTCAAAGAAATCAGATACAGGATTAACAACATTTTAGAATTTGGGAAATAGTGGTGCAAGTATTACATGTGGACTTAATTGGTTACTTTTTTCCTCTGCTTTAAAAAGAAATATACAACACATTCAAGATGGGTGTCTTACAAATCTACTCTTTGTTTAATTGCTGAAGAAATTGGTTCACATATGGTGCTGGATCAAAAGCAAACAAATCCCTGCATGGCTAGGATCGGATCTTAAATCTTTTAAAACTTTAAATATGTTTTAAATCCCAATCAGCATAGCCAGTGATTATGCAAATTGTAATCCAAAATATCTGGGAAGCATCAGGTTTCATCAATAATGCATTATGCAATGTTCAAACAGAGGCTGGAATTGTGTATTTCTACTACAGAACAAACAAAATGTTAGCATGCTTGCTTAACCAAGCAATAATTCAACATTAAGGACATTGTTTCTAAATTCCAGTGAAATTAGAACACAATTTTCACTTGGATCTAACAATCATATCAATGAAAACATTTTCTTTGATTAACAATGGTGTGAACTGACTGCTATCTAGAAGCAGCTGTTTTATTGGTCTTGCTGGGTCATTTAATATTTAAGCCATTGAGATAGCACTACTGCTTTCTTCCAGGAAATACTACATTTCTATTAAGCTACAGCTGAGACAGAAAATAAGTTAACTGGAGTAGAAACCTCAAGCAATCATTTTCCAAGTCCCCAAACTCCTGAATTTTTAAAAAGAGAAAGCTTTCTGCAGATACATTGATGAATGACTTCAACTATTTTAGGGGTCAGAACTAGTGACCCCTTATTCAGACTAAGTTTTATAATTACTATTACCATCAGAGCTATTTGCAAATCAATTGTGCAAGAACTCAAGAACCCCTGCCAAGGAATCAGTTATTTCAAGCCCTCTAGAGCAGGCGTGTCAAACTGCTGGCCTGCAGGCCAGACGTGTCACCGGGAAACTGCTCCGATATGTTGCATGAAGTCGTGTGATGTCGCGAGTTTGACATGTCTGCTCTAGAGTTTATTATGCAACAATGAAAAAACTGCTGGTAAGAACTGTTCTGAATCATTCCATCTGGGCTGTCAGAATTGTTAGGGTATTTCCTCCATGGTCAAGAAAGCTAACATTTGCTGCAAGATTGCATTTTTAAGGGGGTAAGCAAAGTGAGACAGGCAACAGTGGTTGAATTCACACCCTACCATAGGCCAAAGTGCCATAGTGTTTCTGAAAACTCAGCTTTATGCAGATTCTGAAGTGATGAAAAGTGAAATGTTTTCAAGGGAAAAAACAACAGGAAAGTCCAGTTGCCTTTTGGAAAAGCACCTTTGGGACAGCCATGACATAGACATTCAGATTCTGAAGAAACTTATAACACTGAGACAAAAGCACGAAAAACAGCACACAAAAATGAAATTAAAAAATAATAAATATTTACTGTAGTAGTTCTGGTGAGTCTCCAGTTGGTCTTTAGTGAAATAATTTTCATTGTACTTCAGTCCCAAAGATATGAATGGTTTCCATGGTGAATGGTTTCAGCAATAAATGGGATGATCATCACTGATTTAACTTAAAGCAAGTATGCTTTGAACCCTGTTTCCAGTGCAGCATGGTTTGTCCCCACCAATTCCCTGAAGTGCTGCTCATTCCAATGCATGCTCCAGTTTTTAGCCCTTTTTATTTCTATTTTACAAACACAAATAAATTGCCAATGCTTCACTTGTATAAAAGGAACAAAATGGTGCTTTTTCTGGTTTCCTCTCAGAGTTGCAGGCTAGGCAAAAGGGTTGGGGGCCTTAAGCTCTGATCCTGGAGGGTTGCTGTAATGGTCATAAATGTGAAAAATGGTCATAAGTCACATTATTCATTGCTGTTGTAACTTTGAACGGTCACTAAATGAACTATTGTAAGTCGAGAACTACCTGTATTTTCCCCCACAATAATCCTGTAAGATGAGGGGCTGAGCGAAATCCAATGGTCCCGAGTCGCCCAGCTGTGTTTGTTATCTCTTCTATAATAGTTGTGCGTTATGTGAGTTTCTCAGCAACTAGTAAATCTTAGAATTCATGCAGAATTCAAAAGATTTTATTTTAAAAAATGCACTGTGTGTGAAAAAAGGAACCTCATTTGTGCGTATACTTTACTCCGATATAAATATTAATTAGCGTGACCATACACGGGCAATCAATTCAAACTCCGAACTTCCAGCAGGAAAAAAAAAAAAGAGAGAAGGAGCCAATCAGGGAGCCGCAGAGGCTTTTGCTTTACTGATTGGACAAAGCAACTATCAATCGAAGTTCGTTCTTGAGGCTGTGATTGGATTCTCTTCTCGCTCTTCCCAACCCTCCAGGATCAGAACTTCAGGCCCCCAACCCCCCCCATTGGGCAGTCCGCCGCCCTGATTGAACGCGCGCTGGCCCAATGGCGGCGCTGCCTCCGAGGCCCTGCCTCCAGAAATGGGGAGGATGGGGGAAGGGCTGCCGCGAGGCGCGCGGGAGAGCCTGCAGGGGCCGGTCGCGGCGATGGGAGGGATCAACTACTTGAGACGGAACAGGGCGGCGTTGACGGAGGCGGAGGATGTGGAGTCCTCCTGGGAGGAGTTGCCGACACCGCCGACGACGTTGCCGACGCCCCTGCCCGCCGGCACCGGCTGGAGCAGCAGCGCCGCGGGGGGGACTTCGTGGGGGAAAGCCATGCTGGGCGCCGGGGTGGGCGCGGGGGCTAAGCCGGCTAAGCCCTCCTTCGTCTCCTACATCAGCCCTGAGGTGAGGCGATGGGGGGGGGCGGGCGCTCCGAAGAGTTCCCGCGAGGCGGCAGCGGCGGCCTCCTCGAAGGTGGCTCGCTCCCAAGGTTTCGGGCGGCGGCGGCGGCTCTTTCGGCGGTTTGTCGTCCTGTGGGAAAAACTTGGTTTCGTTGTGGGTGAGGGTGCCCTCGTTATAGCCACGCCCGCCTCCCATCCCTAGTCTAGGAAATGATGGCTGGGATCCCTCTTCCTTATTCAAGGGAGCCTTGGGGGGGGCAGGATGTGGGGGCAGGATCCCTAATGAACATTTTTACTCTTGGCATCCGCGTCCTCTCGGTTTATCAGCCCTCGGGAGGAGAGAGCTTATCAAACTGTGTGTGTTTGTGTGTGTGTGTGTGTCAAAAGGCGTGGGTGGGGGCTTCTGGCGCTGCCAAAATAGAGGATAAAGGTGCCGTTTTCCGTCTTTCCCCTTTGCTAGTAAGAAGGGCAAAAGAAACGGGGGTGAGGAGGGTAAAACGTGGGAAGATTTGCATGTGTGAAACAGGATCCTTGTATTCCCCTTCCCGGGTGCATCTTTGTGAACGAGCGTAAATTGCCCTCTGGAAGCACCTGCTTCCTCAGGAAAAGCATGTGGTTTTTATATACTTTAATCAGTGTATTATGGGATGAACCTATGTTTTAAGTTCAATTTTAAAAGCTAAACGCGTTTGTCGTCGGGATGCAGCAGAGAAGGAATAAGATTTCAGACTGCTTCAGTTTCGGCTCTTCAGGAATAAAATCGTGAAAAGCGGTGTCCAGAACGAATAAAGTAATACTTGAAGTTGTGGAGTTGGGGGAAGTTATTTCTGGGCATGAGATTTCCATAAGGCCTTCCAAAAGGATCTTAAAATGCTTCCATTGTACATCTGTAAGATTGAACAGGCTTATGTCTTAGTTAAGATTTAAGGTGCTACAAGATTCACTGTAGTTAGACTAAAAATGAAACTGTTTGTAGTGCTGTAGAGTAGTTTTGCCACATTTAATAGCCTGTATCTTTATTACAGTTGTGCTAAGGTCTGTGTCTGCATTCTCCAAAGCACACTTCAGTAAGTTCATTGAGATTTGCTTTAAGCAAGCAAATACAGCCATACTACCTTAAGTATTTTCTTCTCATTATTTGGTGGTCCTAGTTTACTTTAGATAAAACAGCATAGAGAGAGTCCTAAGTACTATTGGAGTCTGCAAACCTGTATGAGATAGCTTACTCCCCTTGGAGACTCTTTTTTTTTTTCACTGAAACTTAAATTTATCTGAAGAGCTAAAAGGGATATATGTCCCAAAGTATTTTCATTTTTAGATAGTTGCATCGTGACAACATCCATTAACACCAATGTTTTGAAAAGCAAATTGTTTAACAAATTGGTTGTATATCAATTAAATTTGGGTATTGTTAAAAAAAAAGGGCTTTGGGCATGTTGACATAAAGTGCTGATCTGCAGCCCAAGGGAAGCAGTGCCTGACCAGGTCAGTGCTTCCTGTTTGTTGTTTTCCTGGGAGTTAAGATTTTGGATCCCCCAGAGATAAGTGAAAATAAACTTTTCTTTAGATCCATTGTGTCCCTGTTTCACTTCCTATGTATGAGTTGTAGGGCAATGATGGCTAACTTTTTAGAGACTGAGACTAAAAACTGGCCCCGCCCCCACTCCACCCCCTGCCCCGCCCCCACCTGCCTGCAGGGCCACTCACCGCCTCCAGGGCCTGCCGCAGATTGCCCAGGCAGCCCAGCAGTGCCATTGCAGCCACACCCTCTGCCCGCGCCCCGCAGCATCAACTGTGCGCGATGGGGTGTAAAGGCAGAGTCTTGACTACGCTGCCTGGCTGCCATGTCCTTGTCTGCGCTGCTCCGCATGGGCCACGTTCGGTGGTGACTGTCCTCCAGGGAAGCTGTTGGTGAGGAGGGGGTTGTGGGGGGATGCAAGGCTGGAGCAAGGCATGTGTGCCCACAGAGAAGGCTCCGAGTGCCGCCTCTGGCACGCGTGCCATAGATTTGCCACCACTGCTGTAGGGTGTCTCTGAGAACATGGAGAACCTGAAAAGATTGTAAGGGGCATACTTCCTTTCATAAGCACTTGTTGGGGGGGGGGGTGACCTAAAAACATCAAGATGGTGGGCATGAATAAAGCAAACTCCTTTTTGCATATATATGTTTTTAAAAAAGGCTATCACTTGCAAGGTTACACCTGTTTTTTTACACCTCATTCCCTCATGGATACCTTTGAGGAGCTTCCTGTTCCATATTGTAGAGTTGATCGGGACAAAAGAGGAGCTCATATTACAAAAGCAAACTTGTTTTAAACTTTGGGTTAAAAACTAGGTAATAAATTGTGGTTCAACTGTGGCTTGAACCAGCATCCAAGTCTAGATGTGTCATATCCATTTAATATGTAAATTAGCAGATCACATGAACATTACAACTGAGAACTAATCATTTAGCAAAAATGATAATTAGCTTTGAGACCACCTTATTGCTTTCAAATGCATTTGTTAAAAAGAAAAGCCATTTATTTTAAAAAATGAAATATTAGTGGAAATATACCTTTCTATGTTTGATGTTTGCCATTTATATATGATATCTATTTAATCCTTTATTTTTATTCTTGGTTGTACTAAAAATGAAGGATGTTGGAAACATCATGTATTTAAAGAATACATCCTAGTATTTCTAATGAATGGTGAAACATGGTAATTTGTCACAGAACTAGATTGTCAGCATATGGCCAGAATATGAACAAAGGCTGGTATTATGAATGTTGCTTGGATGATCTAGTCATTGTATGCAGGATATAAATAATGACATTGGTGGTGCTCACATTACACTCCCATAATTAAATATACCATAGTTTACTCAAGTCAGTTTTTTGGATTTGTGTGACTCGCTGAACCATAAGCTAACCATACATGCAGCATTCAGGCAACATGAAGTTGGTTACTTTATGTTGAGTACATTGTAATATGTACACTTTGCTTGAAGTGAAAATTGCAACTGTGTTAAGAATATTCTGATTTGAATTAGTGGTGTAGCTAGGAGGATTTATTGTTAGTAATTTGGTGATAACTGAGATGGTGCACATACAGGGAGCATCTTGTTGTGGACAGTTGAAATAGCGTTAAACTGATTCTGGGAATCTTAAATCCTAGATATAACAAACGGAACAAGTTACGGTATATTTGAAGATGGACAGTGTTAATGAAACTGAGGAACCTTTGGTGTTCTCTGAGCTTGGTTATTTTCATTCAGTTACATTAACCAGCCTAGGTAACATCTTCAATTCTAGAAGAGAATGGGGTTTGGTCTCTATTTTTATATACACTAAGTTGCCTTGTGATGTTGGTGGGAGTGACATTTTCTCCTTGGTAGTTGCTTGATTGGGCTGTTCACTGTTTGTTTATCTGTTGTTAATCTTTACTTGTTTGGGTATAATTGCTGGCCAGATGGTTTTCTGATCTTTTTGTTTCCTTTTTAGCTTTTTTATTGTCTCTTTTAAGTGGTATGCAAATATTTATGTGCCTGTTAATGCTGACTTGTGAGTCCCAAGCTTCTAGGGTTTCCCTAGCATTTTTTTTGGAATTAGTTTGGTCTAGATCAGACATGTCAAACACAAGGCCCGGGGGCCGGATGCAGCCCACGAAGTGGTTTCATGTGGCCCATGAAGCCATCCTGGAAACAGTGAGGGAACGGCCCCTGCTGCCTTGGCCCTGTCCCAGGTCAGCCAGGAGCCAATGTACAATTTTGTGGTGGCCATCTTGGCACTTGCCCCAGTGGACCATGCCTTGGCACTTGCCCTGGTCCCACCCCCTTCTGCCAGAGACCCTCAGATCTGTCCCACTCCTGCCCAGGCCGCCATAGGCACCCTTGACGCGAATGATGTAGAATTGGCCACGCCTACCCAGTAAGCCACATCCACTCCATCCACACCCACCCAGTAAGCTGCACCCACTCTGGCCACACCTATCCGCCCCCCCCCCAGGGCAACCACAATGCTGATGCGGCCCTCAGTGAAATTGAGTTGACGCCCCTGGTCTAGATTCTCACAGATTTCTAGTTGATACTATGGTTAAATCTGTCTATGTGTTATGAAATTAAGGGGTTTTCATCGTGTCTTCAGGCAATTATGCTCTGCTAGTCTTATACTTTTCTGTCTTTTTTTAAATTCACTTTGCAGTATTAAATTTCAAAAAGATAAAATGCAAAATAACAAAAATGGAGGGATTAGGAAGGGGGGTTCGGGAAATCAAGGAAAAAAGAAGCCAAAAAGTTACAAAAATATTTTTACTATTATTGTGCTTGTCTGTATAGTACTGTAACTGTTTCTTAATAAAGAAAGATACTTGAACTTGCCCTTCAGGCCAGTTCCATACTGGTTATACTTGTTTTTTAGTTTCATTATTCATGCCCTTCTAGATAGAAACATAGAATAAGTTGAACAATCTGAATTTCATATATAAAATATTATAATGTAATATTCAAATTGTCTAAATTCTTAGCATCAACATTATATTCATTAATGTGAGCAAGACTATGCTCGAGGAAGAAAATGGGGTATGAAAGGATTATGTTTGCTCCAGTATACTATGAAATTGTGAAACTTCAAATAATTTTTATGCAGTTTTTCTCAGTTTTTTTTTAACAACAATTTAATGAAAAGGTCAGAATGAGAGAAGGACTGGCTTAAGATGACTTAGCAAATTCACTGCTTAATAGAAAAGAAATCACAGTCAGCATGGTTAATGGAGACTTGGGGAATTTTATTTATTTATTTATTTATGAGACTGATATACTGCTTTAAGTGCAAGCACTCTCTAAGCGGTGTACACCAGTAAGCAATGTATATATATATATATATTTACATTGGCCCCAACAATCTGGGTCCTCATTTTACCTACCTTGGAAGGATGGAAGGCTGAGTCAACCTTGAGCCAGTGAGATTTGAACCGCTGACCTGCTGAACACAGTCAGCTAAAGTGGCCTGCAGTACTACACTCTAACTGCTGCGCCACCTCGGCTCATTTTTTTTCAAAAATAACTTGAATTATTGCATTCAATAATTCTTGAGCTCACATTTCAGTTAAGCAATCTGAAACTACATTTAAACTGATGTTCTTTTGTTTGTTTAGTGAAATTCTTGAAAACTAGTGTTGGACTCAATTTAACCTATCCCTTAGTACAGAGGTCCCCAATCTTTTGGGGACCAGGGACTGGTTCCGTGGAGAAAGGTTTTTCCGCGGACTGGAGAGTGCGCGGTTTTTTGTGCTACCTGCATCCCACAGATGGGGCTTTGCTTGTTTGTGCCGACCGATTGTTGGCATGCTGTGGCTTGGTACCGGTCCACAGACCAGGGGTTGGGGACCCCTGCCTTAGGTTAAATTAGGGGTCTGCAGCCTATTCGGAACCAGGCTGCACAAGCGATGGACGCTTACACGGGAAGCTCTACTTGCATGAGTGGTGGACACATGCACCCACCCCTTGTGTAAATGCAGCTGCACAAGCACATGTGCCTGCTTGCACAGAATCATCCCCTCTCCCACCCCATACTGGTCCCCAAACCCGAAAAAGTTGGAGACTCCTGGGTTAAACAATTGGGGATGGTTTATAGGTTTATAGGTTCTTTCTTTAACTGATGTAAAATGAATGATAACACTAGATTTTCAGGATTTCAGGACAACTTTATCTAATTTTTAAGACTAAATGATGAGTACTTTAGCATTTATGATAGTTTACCATTTTTGATAAGTGTTTGGGCAGTCCATATGCCTTATTTTCTTAATTCTCCCATTATAGTCCCTTGAAGGAACTATGAGATAATAGCAAAAAAGATTATTGTTATTAGAGACAAACAATTTAATTTTAGATTTAGAGTCTTGACTAAGTGCTTTTGTTTATTTTTTGCTTATGAACTAGCTCTGTAGTAAGTGTCCTTTATTTTTTCACAATAAATAGTTTGCTGGTATGCAAAATTCATGGTTAACTGTTTATATTTGGCTGGCTTCCTGTTAACAGTCAAAACATTTTTGATGCAAAATGCAACAGCCTTGAAAAATATTAGCTCCTTTCTCTAAGGTAAAAAGGAACATAAGATTAGATAATATTGAGACTCCTACATATTTACCTTAAACATCTATTCATTGCATAAATCCAATTCCTGATATTGCATCATTAGTATAAGTATAAATGGCAGTGAAATTGTAAGTGGTGATAATTCTGTAAATGATGTTTCTTTTCTCATTTAGATCATATTGCCTTAGGTTGATATAACAACTTCTAGTTAACCTGAAATATGTAGTGATGGTGTATTGATTTGTTTTCTCGGCTATGCAGACTTCAGGTTGCTATTATAAGCTTAATGCTTCACTGTAGATAAAATATATGACGTTTAGAAAACAGGTATAATTGAAAAGGAAGAACTGGAAGATTCAGCATGTACTTTTTGGGGCTTTTTTTAAAAAAAATGGAGATTCAAACAATTAGAGTAGTAAATGTTATGTTTTCCTTTTATTAAACTACATGGTAATGATGTATGAATATAATTCCATTGATGGTATTAATGTTATAGTGGGATAGAGTTCTGATTATTTGAATTTCTTTGTTGCTATTCTCAACTTAAAACATACATCTATCTACAAAAGCATATTTTTGTTCATTGCATATTTCAGCACATTGCGTATTTCAGTGCCAAACAATCATCACGATATAAAAAAGATGTTGAGACTCTAGAAAGAGTACAGAGATATGTTTACTTCTGTTGGCTTTTCCCACTTAATTTGTAGGGAATCAAATCAATAATTTGTCAGTCTGATGACATAGAAATTTAATATTTTGATTGCCAGGATTTCTCCCAAGTCTGCAATCAGAGGTCTTTCCTACAGGTAGTATTAACCATCAGATAAAATAGAAAACAATCAAACTAGGAGCTTTCAACATGCAAGACACATTTTCAGACATTAGAAATCCTTAATTTACACTGTTCTTTTTCACCATCAAAACCAGGTTTTGCTAGTCACTAATTAGGTTTGAGGAACAGAATGTATTATACACTAGGTACTGTGTTTGTCGAGTAATTCGGGGCATGATAATTCCTCCCAATGCTTTCTTAACACTAGTTAAAGATTATTAGCAAGTTTATTGAGTTCTTATTTGGGTTGTGAGCTTTGTTTTCCTTCTTTTAGTATTTAATACTAAAAAGGGGAGCAAGGAATACTAGATATCAACAATAGATTATTATAGCTTTCTTGTAATGGTAATCTGTGCTGTTGCTCTAAGCTTATAATTCTCTACAAAAAGATTAGTCTCAAGTTACTGAATAACTCTGGTGAATGTTTTCTACATGCCAATGTAATACAGCAGAAGTAATTTGCCTTCAAAGCATGTTTTCAGTCTATTGAATATGTAACTTTTTGCTTAACATCTGAACTAATGCAATGTCCTTTCTTCTAGGAAGTGTATGTGAGGCAACCCATAGAAAAAGAAGTGGAACCTCACTTGTTACCAGGTAATGCTAAATAAATAATATTGCACAATATTGGATGCTGTAATTGTGCATTACATGATGCAGTTAAGTAGAATTACTATGTTCTAAGGAATGTATGTCAATGAATGAGTAAATACAAATAATTGTATTAGTATTGTATTATTAGGATACTTTTCAGTTTGTGTAACTTAAAAACTCCTTGATTTAAAAAATACATGATGTTACTTTGAAAAACAAATCTGTTTGCCTTATATCTATGAAAATAGCAGAGACTACTGGCTAAATGGATGCCAGGGCAGAAGAATGGTTCCTTTTTATAATGCAATGATGAATTGTATATAATTTCCTTAAAATATTATTTTTGATTATTTTCAGATTAAGGGTGACTGTGCTCTGTGTTTAATATTGATCTGTTAGTGCAGTTTAAAGTGCACTACTATTTCTCCAGTTTAGAGCAATAACAGTAACAAAATTCCTTTAATTATATAGCTCATATTATATTTATAGTGATAGCATTTGAGCAACTTGGGATTTGAGATTCTAAGTAGTTCATTGCAAAGTAAGAAGTAAATTTAACTTCTGTTAGGTGAGCTGGTGCTTTGTGAAGCAAACATGGTTTTGAAATTTGTACAAGACGATGGATCAAATCGTGGCACTTTCGGAAAACTTATTTGCACAAACTTCAAGATTTCATTCCTTGGAGAAGAATCCACTGTAGAGGATGTAAGTGATCAAAGTTATTCTTCATCTGCTTTGTGGGCAATTTCTCTTTGTTACATGATGGTTGTATACTTTTTATCTCAATAATGATTTGGGCATGAAGTTTTATAATAGAATATTAGAAAGCTTGACAGACCACGCAGACCACCAACATTGACAGACACCAATCATTTTCTAGGATTGATTTTTTCTTGATTACTACTGATCTTCTTTCTAGGGTTAAAAAAGTCAAGATTTTTCCTAGGACATTGTCTGACCATAGCCCTGTCTGGTTGGAGTTATTGGTGGAAGATGGGAGTAGAAGATCTTGGAGACTGAATGAAAATTTATTTACACGGGAGGAGCTGGTGCAGAAGTGCAGAGAACATCTGAAGGAATTTTTTGTCCTAAATATGAATAAGGGTACTTCAGTGTCTATGGTGTGGGACGCTAGTAAAGCCTATATGAGGGGAGTTTTGATTCATATGAACAATGCTTTTAGGTTTAAACTGACACAAAAACATAAAGAAATTGAAGAAGAGATTAAATCCAAAGAAAAGGATTTTGTTTTGAATCCAACGGATAATAAGTTAAAGGTTTCTATAAATCTGCTTAGGGAGCAATTTAATATGTTAATGGCAGACCAGGTTGTGACCAATCTGCGTTATATGAGACATAATACTTTTTGTAATGCGAATAAGCCTGGAAGGTGGTTGCCTTATCAATTACGTAAGAAACAGAAAGCGAGAATTATAGAGAAAGTAAAATATAAAGGTAGTGAAGTTTATCAACAGAACTTGATTAAAAAGTGTTTTTTAGATTTTTATACAAAGCTATACACTAGTGATAATATACAGGTTTTAGATGTAGAGAAGTATTTACAATCAGTACACTTTCGTAAACTTTCTAATGAACAACAAAATGTGATGAATTGTTTAATTACTTCAGAGGAAATTGGCTTTGCTATTAAACAATTAAAGATTGGAAAGGCTCCTGGTACAGATGGATTAACGGCTAAGTATTATAAAATGTTATTTCAAGAAATGATAGAGCCATTAAAAGAACTTTTTAATAGTATCTTGTTGGGAGCTTCGATCCCTTTTTGGAGAAGGGCTTTTATATCATTGATTCCGAAGGAGGATCAAGATCTCACTGAACCTATAAATTATAGACCTATATCTCTTTTAAATGTAGATTATAAGATTTTTTCTAAAGTTTTGGCAAATAGATTAATGCAGGTTATGAAGGATTTGTTTCATAGTGATCAGTCAGGATTTATAACAGGAAGATATATGAAATATAACACAAGACAAATTATCAATTTAATTGAGTATTTGGATAAGAATAATCAGATTCCTGCGGCTTTTATATTTTTGGATGCTGAGAAAGCTTTTGATCAATTAGATTGGCAATTTTTATTCTCATTAATAGAGAAAATAAATTTTGGAGACAAGTTCTTACAAGCTCTCAAGGCTATATATCAGCAGCAGTCTGCTCAAATTATTATTAATGGGGAATTGACAGAGACTTTTAATATTGAAACGGGTACAAGACAAGGTTGTCCATTATCTCCTTTGTTATTTGTTTTAATAATGGAGATTTTGTTAATTCAAATTCGAGAGTCTACATTACTTAAGGGAATAAAAATAAATAAGAATGAGTATAGATTGAGAGCTTTTGCAGATGATTTGGTGTTAACTTTACAACAACCGACTCAATCAGTTAGTCATTTATTGGAACTTATAACTCAATATGGGAAAGTTTCTGGTTTTAAAGTAAATAACAATAAGACTAAGATATTATCTAAGAATATGACTGAGAAGGAAAATAAAACTTTAGTTAGACTTACAGGTTTTCAGATAGTGAAGAAGGTTAAATATTTGGGAGTATATATAACTGCTTCTAATGGAAAATTATATAAGAATAATTATGAAGTATTATGGACAAAAGTACAAAAGGATTTAAACGATTGGAAAAAAATTGCAATTGTCGTTGGGGAGAATTTCCGCTGTTAAAATGAATGTTCTACCAAAGTTTCTTTTTTTGTTTCAAATGATACCCATTTTAAAAAAAGATGCTAATTTGGATGAGTGGCAGAAGGGTATCAATAAATTTATATGGGCTGGGAAGAAACCAAGGGTGAAGTTTAAGATTTTGCAAGATGCTCGAGAAAGAGGAGGGCTTAAAGCACCTAATTTGAAATTATATTATGATGCAGCCGCATTAACTTTGATAAGTGATTGGCTTGATTTAACAAATAAAAATATTCTCTCTCTTGAAGGGTGGGATTTATTATATGGTTGGCATGCATATTTAATTTTTAATAAGAAAGTTGATCAGGCTTTTAAATCACACATTTTAAGAAGTGCCCTACTTCGAGTCTGGAAGAAGTATTATTATAGGTTAAATTATAAAATACCTATTTGGGGGATTCCTGGACATGCAATTGAGGGAATCTCTAAGGGGATGCATTTTGAAAAAAATTCGTATAAAGAATTACTTATTTGGTTAGGTAATGATTGGCAATTAAAATCTTTAGATGTATTAAGGCAAGAAAATATTTTACAGTCATGGTTTCAATATTTACAAATAGTGGATAGGTGGACTTTAGATAAGAAACTTGGAATAACATCAGGAGATGAAAATTTGGTAATTCAGATTAAAGATCAGAATAAGGCTCATATAAAAAAATTTATAATGCGTTAATAGAATTGGATTCGGAAACGGAATTGGTTAAAGATTGTATGGTTAAATGGGCTCAGAATATTCAGGAACAGATCCCATTGGATTTATGGGAGATAATTTGGACCAGAAATGTTAAATTTACATAGGCTCAAAATTTAAGAGAAAATTTTTATAAAATGTTTTATAGGTGGCATTGGGATCCTAAAAAGTTGTCTTGTATGTATCCTAATTTACAGCCTAAATGTTGGAGATGTGGTAGTTCTGATGCAACCTATTTTCATATTTGGTGGACTTGTAAAAATATTAAGGCTTTTTGGATTATGATTTGGTGGAACATTCAAAATATTTTTAAAAGGAAGATAAAGTTTACTCCTCAACTTTTATTAGGGATTTTTGAGGATTTTGATGTTAAAGAAACTATTTTAATGTTGAATTTAATTACAGCAGCAAGGTTATTGATAGGTCAGTATTGGAAGAAAGATTCGTTGCCTACATTAGAAGAATGGACACTTAAGGTTTCTAATTTAGCAGAAATGGCTAAAATTTCTGCTTATTTAAAGGACCATACACAAGAAAGATATATTATGGTATGGAGAAGATGGATAGATTATATTCAGATTAAATATGGAACTAAAAAGTTCCATTTATTTTATGATTAAACCTTTAAAAAAGAAAAAATAATAAGTATTATTTTTTTATAATAATTGTTTATATAATAATTGCTTACAAATGGATTTGTTTATAATATGTTATTAAGGTTTAAAGGGAGTTAAGGGTTAAGTATGATTTTAATTGTTGTATAAACTGTTAAATTTAATTAGATTATGTTTAATATATTCGTTAAATTTAATTAGATTATGTTTAATATGCTTGTAATACCCTGTATTTGGCTCTGGGAAGTGGGGGGGGTAGGGGGATGGGGATGGGTGGGTTATTTTGTTAATTATTAATAAAACTTTTTAAATTAAAAAAAAGAATATTGGAAAGCTAAGCTATTGCTCTCCTAAAATAAATTTAGTACAAGTTTACATCTTATAGTTTTGAATGTATAATCTATTTAAAGACTTTTAAGCACTTTTTTTGGCAGAAAGTGAAAATAGTAAATCCCTGGCAAATTAGGATATTATTTGAGGAAAATACCAGGGTTGGTTTTGGCACAGTTCTGGGGAGGATTAGAATCTTTAAAGGGAAAAAAAAATCTGTGGTTAAGATTCAGCTGTATTTAGTAATGTTGGCGATATTCTATTTCATTAGTTCTTAGAGGTTTGGTACTCCAGAAATAAAAAGAACTAATTAACCTTTTAAATGTATGTTCTCTTGTATTGATAGTAAAAGATAAATCTTATCAAATTATATATTGTGTTCTGTTAAATGTAAGTTAAGGCATTTTCTTCTTCTAGGAACCACAGTTTAAAAATAAAATCTTGGAAGAAAATGACATAACACTTCAATGTATAGATCAACTTTATGGAGGTAGGTTAGCATTAATAATTGCTTTATCTTAATTACTACACTTGGTTATCAGAAATACAAGTTTAGTTTTGTCAAACATGGGTTTAGATATTTTTTAAATGTAATGTTAATATTTTAATTTTGTTTTTAATTACAAAACTACATATATTTGTGATAAATAAGACATGCAAAGTAAAAAAGAAGAGTAAGAAATAAGCAAAATCACTTTTGGATATAAAAGCAAAGTCTAATTAGATCTATTGTACAGTACTGCATTCACTATACTTCTCCATTCTTACAAAACCTGCTTCCTTCCCCAAAGGTGCTTTTTCACGAGGCAACTGGGCTTTTTTGTTTTTTTCTTTGAAGACGTTTCGCTTCTCATCCAAGAAGCTTCTTGAGCTCTGACTGGATAATGGGGAGCTGAAGAAGCTTCTTGAATGAAAAGCGAAACATCTTCAAAGAAAAAACAAAGTCCAGTTGCCTTGTGAAAAAGCACCTTTGGGATAACTGACCTGGCTGGGTGAGCATCTCCATAGACATCCTGCTTTCTTCTATTGTGGATTGTATGGGAGATGAGATTCCTCAAGATAATTTGGTTCTGAACCACCCAGAGTTTTAACAGCATTGTGAGATCCTTGAATTGCCTTGGAGAGCAACCTGTGATATACTATGATGTGCAGGTACTTAAAACTTACAACCATTTGTTTAGTGACTGTTTGAAGTTATAGTGCCAGTGGGAAAAAGTGACTGATGACCATTTTTTACACTTATGATCATTGTAGCATGCCCATGATCAAGGAATCAAAATTCAGATAATTGGAATATATTTATGACAGTTGCATTGTTCCCAATTCATGTGATCACCATTTATAACTTTCCCAGCTGGCTTCCAACAAACAAAATTAATGGGGATTCACTGAACAAGCACACAATTCATTTAACAACTACAGTGATTTGCTTAACCGTAGCAAAAAATATCATAAAACTGGGGAAAAGTCACTTAACAACTATCTTGCTTAGCAATGGAAATGTTGGGCTCCATTGTGGTCATAAGTCAAGGAATACATCTATTTGGAAAGGAACAACATTATTTGTCCTGATACGTTTTTGGCCAGGTGGTTTTCAGATTATTGTCATTGCCTGCTTTGCAAAGACTATACTGTACTAACCCATCCTTGAGGTTATCAATGCATGCATGAGTCAACAAAAGCAAAAGACTTTCTGTTTTAGTTAAAATTCAGTTGAACAGTAAATTATTGTGAAGCATGTATTTAGATATTATTTACCGTAAATGCCGGCGTATAAGGCGACTTCCGCGAGCGCTGAAATCAGCGCCAAAGACAGGGGTCGTCTTATACGCCGAGTCGTCTTATACGCCGGAAATACTGGTAGTTTCTGGCGTATAAGACGACATTCTAGGAATGCGGCTCAGCGATAAAGACGGGGGTCGTCTTATATGCCAGGTCGCCTTGTACGCCGGCATATATGGTAAATCTTCAGGAATACAAACATTTGAGAGAAAGTTTGCATATTGTTTGTATTTTCAACATGAATTGCGGGAGGTAAAGAAAGTACATTGCAGTTAGTGATTAGGATAATAGTACCAAAGTAGGGTTGCAGAGACAACTATAGCCCAGGCCACAGATCTGCACACTGATTCTCTTAAGCAATGTATTCTTTCAGGTGTATTTTACTCATTATGAAACTTTATATTCCAGCATCTTAAATTTTTAAGTAGTTCTCTAGCCCAGGTGTCCCCAACCTGTGGGCCACAGCCTACTACCGGGCTGTGGCCTATTTGCAACCGGGCCATGTGAGCGATAGGCTGTCATGCACAAACACAGCTTTACTCACATGAGCGGCAGGTACTGGCACTCACAGCCCCACTTGCGCTTGCAGTGGGCTGCCAACCCGGAAAGATTGGGGAAGGCTGCTCTAGCCTCTTAAGCAAATTGGGGGGAAATTCCTGTTTTTTAAACATTTTTCCGAAAAGCTTCCGGTGTGAGGCGACGGCGATGGCGGCTAGCTTTTAGCCGTCCAGCTGGGGAAGTGTCAGAGCCGCGGAGCGCAGCGTGCATCAGCTGGCCCGCGGCTCGAAAATCCCTTCCCGGGCAAAGGGAAGGGACAGAGAGTGCAGGGATAGAGGTAGAACCCCTGAACCCCCTCTGGATTTGTTTCTAGAGGGGGTGAAAGGAGTGTTCCCTCGGAGCTCCTGCTGATCTCCGCCTCCCAGCTGTTTTTGCTTCCTAGGAAGCAAAAGAAACCGCCGCTTCTATCTCCGTGTTTATAGCATTCTGGTGAGTAATTTTTAAACGGACGGAGCAGTTTAAAGGATTTTTTGTTATAATTTAGGTGTTTATTTTTTTTATTTTTTGATTTCTACTATTATTCCTCCTTTTTTTGTTATATTAGTGAAAGGATTTAAGATGGCGCTTTGAAAGTGTCGGAGTTTTTTTTTCCTTTCTCTTTTGTTTTACTTTCCCTTTTTAAGGACTGGTTTTTGCTTTTACTTTTGCTTCTGGCTTAGAATTTTTTCTTTTGAATTGTTTGCTCTTTTATTTTTTATTCTTTGGATTTACTCTGGACTTTCAAGGACTATAGCTTGTCTCTTTTTAAAAAAATTTTTCTTTTTTTTCCCTCCTCCCTTCCTGGCTGGAGGGGAAAGGGAAGTGACAATTGTGCTTTTTAAAATGGCTTCAAAGAGGCAGCAGCCTTCCTCAATACCCAAGGTTATTTCTTCTCCTATAACTTCCACTGCACAGCTACAACAACAATCTAAACATGTACCACCGGCTCAGCCACCACCCTCCCCTCCTCTATCTGGACTTTCAGCACAAGAGGTTAGAGGCATAATGGGAGAGATTGTAGTTCAAATGAGAGAGGAAATGAATCAATTTGTCTCACAGATTAAATCAGAAATTAAATCTGATCTCAAAGAAGAGATAACGGGGATAAAGACTAAATTGCAAGAAAACAATAATGAATTACGACAAGATATACTGGCAGCTGTTTCAGGTTTGGCTACTGTGGTGGTTAAGCTCGATGCAAGGCTTGAGGAAGTGGAAGACAAAGTTGACTCTTTGGATGACAAAATTCAAGATGTGGAAAGGAAGGTGGACTCCTCACAAGAAGATATTTTGATGTTTCAGTACAGACAAATGGAGTATGCCTGAGGATCAGAGGCCTCAAGGAAGATGTGAATCAAGATCTGGTGGAGGTGGTCCTTACTGATCTGGCGCTGGCCTTGGATATGGATAAAGGAGAATTACAGAGAGAAGTGGAAAAAATTTATAGGCTCAACTCCTGGATTGCTAAGCAGAAGAATTTGCCTAGAGATGTGGTGATTTATTTTACAAAGAAGTCCCTGCGGAATGAGATTATACAAGCTTTTTACAATAAAAGATTTCAGATTGCTGCCCAAGATGTCATCATTCTAAAGGAAATCCCATCCAAAATTTTAAGAAGCAGGAAAGACTTTGCTTTTTTAACCAATGAGCTTAAAGCTAGATCGATGCCATTTAGATGGGAAATTCCGATGGGTATTGTTTTGAGCCATGCTGGGACACGCTACAGATTGAACACAGTTGATAAAGCTAGAGATTTTTATACTTCGGTCCTGGGTGCAGGCTCAACCTCATCTGGTCGGAAATCTCTGAGTGGCAAGGAAGTTGAGCAGCAATCTGAGGCATTAGATTTGGTTTCCGCTGGGATGATAGAAGCTGTAAAGCAACGCCAGACGGAGGTTAAAGAGCAGAGGATGACCCGTGCAGCCTATAAGCGTAAAGAGAAGGAGCAACGTAAAAAAGAGCCTAAAGAGAGTTCTCCTGGAAGTGCATCACCGCCGGTGGGAGGAGCAAGACCCAAGAGTTATGCAACACACGCAGCTCTTTCAGAGTTTGATGGTGTCTTCTCCAGGCTGCGTGCCAAGGGAGATGGCAAAGTTTTTGACCTGGAATGTTAATGGATTGAATTCTCCTCAGAAACGCAAAAAAATCTTTTATTATTTGAAGCAACATACTAATGATGTTATTTGCTTACAGGAAACTCATATTTTACTTAAAGATCAGAAATATTTAGTTAATGCTCGTTTGGGATCTCATTTTATATCTTCTGCTCCTGGGAAGAAAGGGGGAGTTGTTATATATGTTAAACAAAACCTACCAGCTTGTCTGGTAGAATCAGATCCCCAGGGGAGATATGTGATGATTGAACTTGGTATTTATGGTAAGAAAATACTTATAGTTGGACTTTACGCTCCAAATCAACAACAGGAACAATTTTATAAGCAGTTACATCAAAAAATAACATTGCTTGATTATAGATCAGTGGTATTAATGGGTGATTGGAATGGTGTCTTAGATATACAAAGGGACAAGAAAGGTTCCTCTCCTTTTCTTAAACAAGCAAGGCTACCTAAAGCCTTTTTTGATATGAAAGAAGACTGGGAATTAAGGGATTATTGGCGGGAACGTAACCAAGAGGAGAGAGACTTTACTTTTTTTTCTGATAGACACCAATCTTTTTCAAGAATTGACTTTTTCTTGATTACCACGGACTTGTATAATAAAGTAAAGAATGTAAGATTTTTCCTAGATCACTGACGGATCATAGTCCAGTTTGGATGGAGCTGATTCAAGAGAAAGAGGAAAGAAGATCCTGGAGAGTTAATGAAAATTTGTTTAGACAAGAGAAGAATGTTCAAAAATTAAAGGAGTGTTTAAAGGACTATTTTGCTTTGAATATGTATAAGGGGACTTCAATGTCAATGGTATGGGATGCAGGTAAAGCATTTATGCGCGGTGTTTTGATAAAAATGAATAATTTTTATAAGCGAAATCAGATTCAGAAACGTAGAGAACTTGAAGATGAAATTAAACTAAAAGAAAGGGCTTTGATTCTAAATCCTTCTGATGAAAGTACTAAAGAATCTGTAAAGTTATTAAGGTCACAATTTAATATGTTGATAGCAGATCAAGCTGCAACCAACTTATTATTTATGAAACAAAATACATTTTGTAATGCTAATAAGCCGGGGAGATGGTTGGCTTATCAATTAAGAAAGAAACAGAGACAGAGAATAATAGAGAAAATAAATTACAAGGGTAAACTAGTTTCTCAGAAGGAATTAATTAAAAAATCTTTTTTGGATTATTATCAAAACTTATATAAATCTACTAATGTACAATTGTTAGATATAAATAAATATTTAGCTGAGGCAAGTTTTCCTAAATTGACTGAGGATCAGAAATATGAAATTAATGGCTTAATTACTAAGGAGGAAATTGCCTCAGCAATTCAACAATTGAAATTAGGGAAAGCACCGGGTACGGATGGGTTAACAGCTGTTTATTATAAAGCTTTAATGGAGGAGATGATCCAACCATTAAATGATCTTTTTAATGGTATCTTACAGGGTTTAGAGATTCCTCCTTCATGGCGTAGTGCCTTTATATCATTGATTCCAAAGGAGGATCAAGATCTTACTTTACCAAAAAATTATAGGCCTATATCTCTTTTAAACGTGGATTATAAGATATTTGTAAAAATTTTGGTAAATAGGCTTATGAGGGTGGTGCATCATCTTGTGCATAAAGATCAATCAGGGTTTATAACAGGAAGGTATATGAAAAACAATGTTAGACAAATTATTAATCTATTAGAATACTTAGATAAGAACAACCAAGTTCCTGCAGGGCTCATATTTTTAGATGCTGAAAAAGCATTTGACCAATTGAATTGGCATTTTATGCTAAGAGTAATGGAAGAAATGAATTTTGGTGAAAACATATTACAAGCCCTTAAGGTAATATATCAAAAACAAACAGCACAACTTATTGTTAATGGAGGTCTTTCGGAGGTTTTCACAATAGAGAAAGGTACTAGACAGGGGTGTCCTTTATCGCCATTGTTGTTTGTTTTAACATTGGAAATATTATTGATCAAAATTCGAGAGTCTCAGGAAATTAAAGGAATATATGTTAATAAAAAAGAATATAAGTTAAGAGCTTTTGCGGATGACTTGGTTGTTACTTTGTCGCAACCTGATTATTCTGTAGTAAACTTATTACAGTTGATTCATCATTATGGCTTTGGTCTCGGGTTTTAAGATTAATGTAAATAAGACCAAAATTTTACCTAAAAATATGTCTAGTCAGGAGAAGCAGATTTTGACTAACTTGACGGGTTTTGAGATTGTTAATAAGGTAAAATATTTGGGGGTGATGTTGTCTGTTTCTAATGTAAAATTATTTAAAAATAATTATGAAAGGTTGTGGGTCAGGGTACAGAAGGACTTGAAGAATTGGGAAAAGTTGCAATTATCCCTCATGGGAAGAATTGCAGTGATAAAAATGAATATTTTACCCAAGTTTCTTTTTCTGTTTCAAATGTTACCAATTTTGAAAAATGAGATTAATTTAAATGAGTGGCAGAAGGGTCTTAATAAATTTATCTGGGCAGGGAAAAAGCCAAGGGTTAAGTTTAAAATTATGCAAGACTTCCGTGAGAGGGGTGGACTTAAGGTACCAAATTTGAAATTATATTATGATGCGGTGGTTTTAACACTAATCAGTGATTGGGTAAATTTGACAAATTCTGAGATACTTTATCTAGAGGGATGGGATTTACTTTATGGGTGGCATGCCTATTTAATATTCAATAAAAAAATGGATTGGGCTTTTAAATCTCATATCTTAAGAATTTCTTTACTTAGGATTTGGAGAAAATATTATAAAAGTGATTTCAAAGTACCATTATGGGCTATACCTTGGCATGCGATAGAAGCAATAAAAAGAGGGGTTAAAATGGATATGGTGTCTTACAGACAGTTACTTAAATGGGATGGACAAAACTGGCAATTAAAATCACGGGAAGAGTTAGCGCAAGAAAACTTTATTTATTCTTGGTTCCAATATAGGCAATTATTAGACAGATGGAAGATGGATTGTAAGGTGGGTTTTCTTAGAGAAGATGAAAATCTTATCAAGCAAGTGAAGGATTCAAGACAAACCCACATTAAGAGAATTTATGCGGTTTTAGTTGAATTGGATTCAGAAACGGAACTAATTAAAGATTGTATGATAAGATGGGCGCAGAATTTTGGTGAGCCAGTCTCATTGGACACCTGGGAAAATATTTGGGTGAGAAATGTCAAATTTACACAAGCACAGAACTTAAGGGAGAATTTTTATAAAATGTTTTATAGATGGCACCTTGATCCACAAAAAATGTCTTATATGTACCCTGACGTGCAACCCAAATGTTGGAGATGTGGTTATAAGGAGGCTTCCTATTATCATATTTGGTGGTCATGCAGAGAGATAAAAGCATTTTGGATCAAAATATGGTGGAATATCCAGAGAATTTTTAGAAGGAGGGTAAAATTTACTCCGCAATTATTTTTGTTAGGTATTGTTACAGATTGTGATACAAAGGAGGTTGTTTTGATGTTAAATTTGATTACAGCCGCTAGGCTGTTAGTAGGACAATATTGGAAGAAGGAATCTTTGCCTACATTGCAGGAATGGTTTCTTAAAGTAGCTTATCTGGCGGAAATGGCAAAGATTTCGGCTTTCTTAAAGCAACAAACGCAAGAGAAGTTTCTTGCTGTTTGGGATAAATGGATAAAATTTATACAATTTAGATTGGGTATACAAAAATATTATATAGTTTTTTCATAAGTTTTATTTTCATATATATTATAGATAATCTTTTTATATATATAAATATAAAGTTTTTAATTTAATTTTTATTTTTACTTCTTAAGCCTATATTCTGCTCTGGGAAGCTCAGGGGGGGGAAGGGAGGGGGGGGTTTTTGGGAGGGGTGGGGTTTTTTTTTTTATATATATATGTATTGTTTAGTTTTATTTTTTTGTATATGTTGTTTCTTGTTTTGTATTCTTTTTTCTTTTTTGTAAAATTTATAAAACTTTTAATAAAAAAAAAAAAAAACATTTTTCCCAGCTTCTCATTGTGATGGCTATAAACTTAAATATTTTTATGGGCAAGAAGATCTAAGTTTACTGATTTGCTGGATAAATAGTGGTAAGTTGCTTATCTGAATAAATGTTAAAACTAAACTATACTTTCCTTACAGTTTATGATGAGAAAAGAAAACCTCTAAGTGGTCAACTGAGAAAATATCCAGAAACAATAATAATCTACTGTAAAGATCTTAGAGTGTTTCACTTCTGTTTAAGATATACCAAGGAAGAAGAAGTTAAAAGGGTAATTATGGCCTTACCAATTTCCTTTTTTAAAAACAAACCTTTGGACTATGACTAAACTTTCATGAAGAGCACTAAAATGTTACAACTGAGTTACATTTTTAAAGAATATCTGAAAATTAAATAGGGAAGAAAGTCCTGCCTTGTTGAAGCATCTTTGCCTAGTTGTGGCTTAGCCATGTTTTCAGTTAATCACAACTATAAACCGTTGATTTACAATCTGCATGCTAAATGAATGGCAAACAAAACCCATTATAGTTTAACACAGATTTGAATCCACTTTTTGCCTTCATTCGTGAATCTACTTTTGCCTAAAATACATTTACATTTTAGTCAGTGGTGGGAATTCAGATATGTGAACAACCGGTTCTCTGTGTGGATGCTGCTTCTGGAAGTCCATTCTGGGCCTAGGCAACAAAAAATTAGCTACCGGTTCTGCCAAAGTGGTGTGAACCGGCTGAATCCCATCACTGATTTTAGTCTAAGGAATAGACTATATCCTAATTGCTGGATTCTATTTATAAATTAATTGTACCATGTGAATGTTTCTCTTTTGATTTAACATACAGTGAAGAAAAATAGGGTACTATGTGGCACTGATTTCATGATTATTCCTTACTTTATTTTTAGATAATGAGGAATCTTAACTGCGCATAATATGTTATGTTTTTATCTCCTGTGACTGTTAATAAATTTTGGGTCTCTGTGTTTGATTTGCTTTGAATTCTAACCTGAGTGTTGGTAATGTATTGCAGTTTTGCAGGTTACGTTGATCTAGTTATACCTATTTTGGTTGTTATGTTGCTAAGAATGAAGAAAGAGGGTATGAACAAAAATGCAGGAAATTTATGGCCAAATCATGGAGCTCTGGGCATTCTCAATCTTTTCCAAACCTTCTTTTCGTAAAAATCTGTACTTACAACTAGAGATAGCATTACAGAGGAAATCAACTTGGAGTCCTAATCTTCAGCCTCCTCATTCGCTTCATTCATTCATTCTCATTCAGACTTTTAGAACCTGCATATGTTTCCATCTGCTGTTTGTCCGAACTTAATTGCTAACTCCAACACAATTCCATCTACTGACAAGTAGCTATGCAAGCAACTTATGAGATTTGTATCCTTCGTACTACAGTATGGTAGGTAGACAGCATCTCCTAGTCAGATATTTAAATGCTAATAGGAAAAGTCCACAAAAGCATTTCAACAGAGTTGATATTAGCCTTTTGAAGTATATATGGTCGCTTTAGGAAATTATTCAGTAGTCTAGCAAAGTTGGAAGGTATTCGTTTCTTCTAACTAACTTGAATGCCTTACAAATATGTTGATATCTTGTTCCTTTCTTAGATTGTCAGTGGCGTAGTTCATCAAACACAGACCCCTAAGCTATTTAAACGCTTGTTTCTGTTCTCTTATGCATCAGCTGCCCCAAATAATTTAGGTAAGCATGCACAATATATCTGCCTTGCTACTTTGATTCTAAGTAACTGTTGTGTTGACAACTTTATTTAAAATAGGCTTGTTGTGTTCCCCCTTGGTTAGCTTGGTCATTTGTCCTGTCTAATCCTGATGAGAAATAGATTGTATAATAGCTGTTTATGTACGTTCAAGAGGTGAGCTTCAATACATACCTGTAAAAGACTCATCGTAGGCAGGAATTTGATTAAAAAGTGACATTGCTACTTCTGTTAAAAATGAAAATATATGCATCCCCTATTAATTATGGTCACAGTCTGAAACATTGGCTTTGAAACATCTCAGGATGGTAATTGGTCCTTTTAAGAACAAAACCTACATTACAATTGAAAAAAAAATCCAGTGTGTTTATCTTACTAAAAAGCATCTTTCACAAACTCTTGTCAGGTTTTGGGTTAAGATGCAAAATCCATTTAAAAAGTTCAAAATTGTCCAGTCTAAAAAAATTTTTTATATTTTAACAGAGAAAGAGAATCAAGTAGTATGGTTTGATTCTATTAAAGACTGGCGTCAAGAATTGGAGCGGACCAAAGGAAATCTAAAATACAAAGCGGTGAATGCCAATGAAGGTTATAAAGTCTCTAAAAAGTAAGAACTCATCACTTTTTAAAAATTAACGTTGTTGACTGAACAATCCACAACTCAAACTGGTTTCCATTTTATGTCCCTTGTCCTCCTTGCCCCTCTGCATTCACCTTGCCAACCCTCAACATCTTCCTTCCATTGCTGACAAAGCGTGCCCAGCTTGGCTCTATGCAAGGCAGCAGCTGGCTGCACCATATCTTCTTCCCAAGGCTGCTTGCCCTTCTGACAATGCTTCAGAAGGCTTCTGAGGCCTTCTAAATCTCCACCAGAAGGCTGTACCTACTGTTATCTAAATTGTGTGGGCTGTTCTCATGATGCTTCAGAAAGCCTTGGAAACTTTCCAAAGCATTATAAGAATAGTGAATGGCTGGCACAACCTTCTTGCAGGGTTTCAGAAAGCCTCAGAAGCATTGCAGGCAGCCTCAGGAAGAAGACCTGGCGTAAATCAAGGAGTACCTGTGTTATAAATTAGAATATGAGCAGGTAAATATAGCAAGTGATACAGGTTCATGAAACTAATTGTGATGAGTAGATGATAGATTTTAAACTTTTGTACAGAAGTAAAATACATTTTCTTTAGTTCGAAGTTCATGATAACTTTTGCACCCATTTTTCATCACATTCAAAGTTTGCTTCTGAATATAGTTAATACAGATGATCCATTATGTACCTTACTTTATGATATCCACAGGCTCCCTAACAGCAAGGATGAGGAATATAAATCTAGATTTCTGTTTAATAGAGAGTTTAAACCCAAGAGAATATAAGATGTGGGCTGCAGTCTTCATTGTCACAAGACAATCAACTGTTTAAAATGTTTTCATGTCTTCTGTACAATAAAAATTTCTAACTAACTGAACTCTAATGAGAAGCCCCAACCAAGAGATAAGTCTGAATAACTTGTAGATTTTAATTTGTTAAATTGAATTTTCTCAGGTTGCCTCCCTATTTTGTTGTTCCAATGGCTATTTCTGAAGAGAGCCTTTTGCAGTATCTAGGAAGAGGAATTCCAGTGAGTGTATTTGTTGACAAGCTTGAAGAAGCTTTTTGTAAATATATATGCATGTATATTGTGTTACATTACATTATATATTACATATACATATATACATTGCACACACAGACACAGATACACATATATGGCTTCCTTTATTACTACTAAATGATTTGGGTAACATCAAATGAGTGCAATTTAATTATATAGTCTTAGCACAGTCAGAAATAAGCAAAACTGAATATTAACAGCTTGTCTCATGTACGTAGCTCAATTATTGTTTGCTTCTACATATACAGAGTTCTTACCACAGTCTGGGAAGTATGATTAATACAGTTAATAATCAATTCAAACAGTCCTTTGATTTGGATGAGTGCAAACGAATTTTGTACTCCCTTTTTTTAAAGGCCTTTAAAGCCTTTTTCAGTTCAGAACCAGTAACCTAATTCAGACTGAGTTTCCAGTTCCAATTTAGCAAACTATAGCTCTGTTTTAGTATTCTACTGATACATGTAGAATCAACTTTGCGTAGGGAGATGGGAATATATCCTAGTTCTAGCCCATTTTGTTGTTTCTAGCATGAGTATTGCTTACCTGTAGGATTTATTTTATTTACACTCGCTATGGTTCATGCAGCAAAGCTACCAATGTATGATGTGACAAAAAAAAATATTGTTAGGCCCCTTTTTTTGCAGAACCTAGCACTGATGTGGATTGAGAGAGAAGGACTGATCCAGGTCACCCATCTGCCTTCTGTCCCTAAGGAGGAGTAGAAATTGGGTTTTCCCGCCCCTAGTCTAACAGCTTAACTCCTACATGATATTAGCTTTCCTAACTACCCCATTCATTTACATTGATCATATTTATCTCTCCTATGCTCTCTCTCATGAACCAGTGAAACCATCCCATGGTATCTAGCAGTATCATAAAAAATACCATAAATAAAAACCTGCTAGTAACCCCCCCCAAAAAACATTGAAATATAATTATTTCATTTACAAATAATAAATAAGGAGTGAAAAATCCTCTCCATCAGTCATAAAACTCAGGCAGCCATCTTCAAATCATGCTTGAACATGATGTTTTAACTTCTTTTTAAAACGGATTGAGGAGATAACTAGAATTTCTAAAGGGAGTGAAATCTTACAGATTGATATTGCTAAGAAAATTGTTGCTCCAGTTGTTAGCTAAATGGGATTTCTTCTGGGTTGACACTCTTTAGAACAGTGGTTCTCAAGCTTTCTAATGCCGCGACCCCATAATACAGTTCCCCATGTTATGGTGACCCCCAACCACTTATACATCACTGGGTGCCAGGGGCATGGCCAAAGAAAAGGGGGAAAAAATGGCGGACAGCCTTGTTTGGCAACCCCCGTGAAATGGTCGTTCGACCCCAAATGGGGTCCCGACCCACAGGTTGAGAACCACTGCTTTAGAAACTCTAGTGATGTTTGTGTTAGAAGAAAAGCTGAAAGTGTTTTTTATATCAATAGTTATAGTTATAGCTTGAGAAAAGCATATATGCTATAAACATTTCATAAAGGGTGATATTGTCGGAGAGTCGTGTTAGCCTATGATGGCAAAAAATCAGGAAGAATCTGGAAACACCTTTTCCAATCAACATAGTTTATTAAAAGGTATACTTTTTTGTCAATTGTGCTTCCTTTCATCTGATACATTGAATACTGGATGTAAATTGGGGTGAAATGAGGGAGAAAGGGGAGGGAAAATATGGGTTGATTATGCAAAGGCAAGGTATATATGAGACAGTTTATAAGTACCTTATTAATTAACAGTTGTAATATATTAAAAACCCCTTGTTTGTTGAAACATTCTGAGATTGCCTGAAACATTTTGATTTATGCCAGTTCAGCAATTTCTTATTCAACAGTGTATTTAAACTTCCCTTTTTTCAAAATAAAAAGGATGACAGAAAACTTAGCTGCTGGTACACAGTTATACATTGATTCTTAATCCAGGTAGGAAATCCTGGGGTACATGGCTAGATCTAATGAGGAAGGAGCATGGGACCATATTAAGACCATATTGTTATTGGAAGGATTATCCAAACTGTTTCATCCACCTTCACGTTAAGTGCTCTTCGGGGCACTGAATTTTATGCATGATGAGTGGAATACTCTTAACTCGTGCTGTATGACGCCTCTACTACTCCATAACAAAATGAATGTTTCTCATACATAACCAAATCACAACATGTAAATATCTACTGCAGGTTTGGTGTTGGTCTTGCCATAATGGTGCTGCTCTCCTCAAGATGTCAACTTTTGCCAAAGAACAAGATGACAACACTTCCCAGCTGCACAAACTATTCTTGGATGGGTAAATAATAGTTCTGTTTCAACTTAGTACATTTGCATTTTCAACTGCATTAACTCTATGAATACTTAATTCCTAATGGCAAGCTGTCATTTTCTTTCCCATTGGTAATATACTAGACATTTGTTCCTTCTCTGGATCACTATTCTGCGTGGTCTGGCATTTTTCTGGAAGCAGATCTGAGCAGAAGCCTTGTGTGGTGTTCTGAATGCTGCAGAAGACTGCTAGCCTAATTGTGGAATAACTGGATCAATCTGGTCACAGAAATTTCCCTAGGATTTCCTCTTTTTGGAACCATAAATTTTGAACAACCCTATAATATGTCTTTAATTCCCCAGTACTTTAAATCACAAATTCTTGGGCAGTAGGGAAAGATACAGCGCTTTCAGCAATATCTTATGTGTAAGTATCAATATCATTTAGCCCAGTAGTCCCCAAACTTTGTTGCTTTGCAGTTCAGTGGGGGGCGAAAGAGGGGAACTGGTCCATGCAAGCAGTGGGCATGCAGCTCAACTTGCCTGGGCAGTGGGATGGTACATACACACATGCACACACAGCTCAATTTGTGCAATTTGAGCTGCAAGTCTGTGTGCACACATGCCAGCCCTCTGCTCGCAAGTCGAACTGTGCGCATGTGTGCGCACATTGGCTGTCTGCTTGCACAGCCTGGTTGCAAATAGGCCATGGCCTGGTAGTGGGCCGCGGTCTGGGAGTTGAGGACCCTTGATTTAGTTAGACCATGGTATTAGTGAACACTTTGTTCACTCATCTAGCTAAGAAAAGCAAGTCTAAATCACAATGAGGCTTGAAGTTGCTTTGGGACTCGGGTGAGAAAAGGTATAAAAATCCATGCATTAAGACACCAATCCTTTGGTTTTATAATACATTTATCAAATTTATAAAACACTCCAAAAAGTAATAACACAGTACAATAAATGGGAGTTGCAAGAAAGATATTGGAAATGTAACAATAGGTTATATAGCAAATATTTTCTATTAAAAATTCTCTGCTATTACTACATGCTTAATACTCCAGGAAGGTTTAAGTTTCTTCACAATAAGATCTATTTTTCTCTATAACAATACAGAGAAGGAGATAAGGAAGATTGGTACCCATAGATTCTTTATGATTTAAAGTAAATTTGTACGCTAGCTAAAAAATCCCAGAAACAGAAATATGGTTTCTCTATCCTAAGATTGTATAAAATTAGTGAACTTTGACAATCTTGCCACATTTGTTCCCAGAGTTGATAGTTCTGCCCTTTTGATGCCAAATAAAGAAGTCTCCAGTTTAGTGCATTCTACTGTGTTCTGAATGTTGTTAATCTATTCTATTTAGAATGTATAAAACAATTGATAAGCCTCCATATGAAGCCTTGAAAATTGAAGACCTTTCAAGCAGCCTTCCATCTTTGCAAGAAATCCAAGTTGCATATACTAGATTTAAACAGCTGTTTTTAATAGGTATGTAAAAACATAAGGAAAATAAATGTTTACAACTCTAATGTGGAAAAAGGACATGAACTGCTGTGTTTACTATTGATACTTCAAAGGCCTTGTTTTTAAAACTGCAGATGCATGTCATATCTTAAACCAGGAGTTAATGGATCATTTTTCAAAAGAGCCAGATTTTGTTGTCTTCTTTGCTTTTTACTGCTTTTGTTAACCGTAAAGTAATTTTCCAGTAAGAACTGATAAATATTAATCCTAATCAGTCTTTCAAGGTTTTTTATTGTTTTTTTTTGGGGGGGAGTTCTACTTCATCTTTCTTTCAGAAGTTTTTCTTAGTCTACTGATTGGTATAAACATTCAGTTATTGTATGCCTTTCTATAGTTGACCATTCTTTTGAATTGTATTGTTGAAACATTATTTAAATACAGAATAAAACAATAAATCGTATACTCTGACTACATGGGTTTTCTGCTGGTGCAAAAATATATGAGAATATAACACAATCATTAATATCTCTTTGAATCTTTGAGCTTCATTGACATAAATGCATTCTATATTTCATATGTAAATATCTAAAATTATTATCTTGGGGTTTTTTTTTCAGATAACAGTGCAGAATTCTGGGATACTGATGTAAAATGGTTTTCACTGTTGGAAAGTACAAATTGGCTAGAAATCATAAGGTAGGTTAACTTCCTAAGTTGTATTATCTAAATATACTTAAGAAAGCAAACCATCAAGTCTTTAAGATAATACAAGACAACATGATGTATCCTCAGATTTTAATAACAACTTCAACAAATTCATTTTGAGATAGTCATTTATCCAAGATCCTTGGAATCATAATCCCAGTTGATTCCAAACAGAATTATGCTTTTCTACTTCCATTTTCAAGAGATATATTAAAGCTCTAATTTGTCCATGTTCTTCCAGGCGATGTCTGAGAAAAACAATAGATATTATTGAATTGCTTGAAGTACAGAGCACAAATGTTCTTCTTCAAGGTAAGTTCAAGAAAGCATATTCCCCCCCCCATCAATTATAAGTAGATGAAATAAAATAAAATCTAGTTCTTAACTCTTTCATTCATGAACTGCTTGCCATGTAAATATGTTTAAAACAATTTAAACTTGACAGTTTTCTGACATTGGATACATATAACCTGAGACTGAAAATTTATTTGAAGAAGCAAAATAGTTCAAAACATACTGCTGATCAATGTTCACTTAATTCCTAAAAAATATTCAGAACATCAATTTTTCAAATTGTGTTGATTTTTGCATGCGCTATACATGAAACACAATCTAACTGCTTCAAGTATAGTCTGGAATCAAGGGAACAATCTACCTGCTGCTACACATCCTGACTGCAGCTAGGCTTGCTTTAGCGTAAAAATGGAAGAGCAAGGAAATTCCCACAGAGGAAGAGTTAATACATAAAATATTAGCATGTGCGGAAATGGACAGGCTCACAATGACATTAAAAGATAGATGTGGATCAGTTTATTATGAAACCTGGGATAAATTTTACCGCTGGAGGAATTTGAAGAGGACAGTAGGGATTAAAGACGAATGTTAAGATAGAAATATATGTTATTTTAGAACAAGTATTGTATATAAAACTTAGATGTATATGTAGAGATGAAGAATTGATTGTAAAAAGTGGAATAATCTGATAAGAATATATATACTGGAATGTCACATCAAATCCAATGTTTGTTTGTTTTTAATTGTATTATAAATAAAATTTGAAAAAAAAAAGTATAGTCTGGAATATCCCCCCCCCCCCGAATTATTCAGAGGTAAACTAATATACACATTAGCCAAATAGAACTATTTTAGCACTGCTTATAGAGGTACTTGAAAACAATTTACAATGTTTGATTAAAAGTTCTAAATTATAAAGCAGGGCTGTTGTTTGCAATTTGAACAGGATAAACATCCATATAAACAAATAAATGTTAATTCCTTCAATTTCTAAGAAATAACACCTGGGATGTAATTTCATATTTTTTTTAAAGAAACGGGATTTTATTGTGTTAACTGAAAGATATGTAAATCATTTTTACAAGTGGATGAATGAACTTGTAGTGATACATGAAGAAGTAAGCTTGTAACATGAATTGTAACAAAATCGTTAATAAGCTAACTTTTTTTTTCTTACAATTGATTAGGTAACTACAGTACTTGTCTTGTAGATTATTAACTACATCCACTCATATCTTTGTGTTTCACTGTTTTGTATAATTATTTTTTCTGCAGATCTAGATAGACAGATATATTTTTTTAAAATAATACACAATAGTATTATTTTAAAATTAGCTCCAAATACAAACTATTTTGTATAGCGAGTAAGCACTATAGAAAGGTAGAGTAAAATTCAAGCTGTTACTCCATCTGGATCAGTTCACCCAAATGGTTACCTGTGTTGTCTGTGTTGCATCTCATTTGCCACCAGTTCATTACTGAATCCAAAGCACAGGTTAAAATACTAAAAATAAAATACAGGTAGCCCTCAGTTAATGATGGCAATTATCATAGCTAAACGATGTGATCATAAAGCATGGCATCATATGAACGTGCCACTTAATGATGGCAGTTCCAGTATTACTGGTTGCAATCATTAAGCAGATTGGTGAGGGTCATTAAGCAGGGACATCACATGGTCACCATTTGCGCCCTCCCTGCCAGCCACCCCACTGCCTTTGCTTGCCAGAAGCTGGCAAAGAAGGCCACAGATGATGACTATGAGAAGCTCTGGTGTAGTTGCAAGCTGAGCACCAGAGGACTGGCCATATGAACCACATTTTCAGTGCCATCACAAGTTTGAACAGTCGCTGAATGAATGGTCGTAACTAAGGACTACCTATCGCAGGGGTAGGCAACTTTGGCTCTTTTATGACTCGTGGACTTCTGGGAATTGAATTCCACGAGTCATAAAAGAGCCAAGGTTGCCTACCCGTGGCCTATCGCTACAAAGGAAAATTGCCTTTTCATTATTCAACTTCTTAAAATTCTAATGTCAGTGTAGATCAAATCTCTGGAGAGCTTTCATGGGAGCTTCATGTAACACTTAGTATCAATATACAACTGCAAAGGAGTTGAGCAATAATACCTGATACAACTTTCTGGAAATGATATTCCAAATAGGAGTATTTTGTCTACTAAACTACTTCTTACCCCCAACACAAACTTTCTGTCTTAGAAGAATCTCTTGCTAGTTACATTCATTCCGGTTATAAGCCATAGGCTGATTGGGTGTAATCCATTCCAAAAATATGCCTGAACAGATATATAAACAGATCTATTTAACCTGTTTTATCAAAGAGTGTCCAGTACCATCTGCCAACCCTTTGCTGTCTTCATCATCAAAGAAAAAAGTAGGCAGCTAATTATAATTATTTGTTTTAAGTGCTTTCAAGCTTAAGGTTTTTTCAGTTTTTTTCAAGTGGAATTATAACTACTTGCAAGCAAGTTCTAACCATGTTCCACTATTGCTCTTACTGATTCTGAATACCTTGTACTTTTTCTATTAAGTTATAGTTTATAAATGAAGGTTAGATAATTTGCATTCATTTTACAGAGCTTGGTCGAGCACTAGCATGCAGAAGTCTTAACAAAATTCCTTTCTTTATCCCTCCATTTCAGAATTCATTTACAGTTCCATTAAATGCACAGTTCTCTACATCAAGGTCTACATTTCTGCCAACATCACGTACACCTTTCTGTCAATCCCTTGCCTTAAGAACAACGTCAGTAGTGTTTGAATATTGAAAACCACTTTGAAAAGTTGATTGGCATGCCCTCAAAGGATACTTTTGTTACTGTTATTCTAATGAAATGTTAAGATTTGTCAAAAATACTCCCTCCTATAAATGTCATTTTTTCCAACTGTCCAATGTTTTTAGGAAAATTTATATTCAAACATTGAAAATAAATGCATCACATCATGCTTTATCCCATTCCTAAAAGAGGATTGAGCCTATTTGTTTGATTCACACACATACCCCTGCAAATTTAATAGAAATAGTTAGAAATGAAATGGGTTTAGTCACCCTTGAGGTGTTCAGGTCTGTATACATTTGTACATGGCTATAAATTTCTGACTAAGATACACCAAGGAGCTGTCTTATATTTTAAAACATAGCCCTTCTAGCATGTTTCTTGGATTCTGGTTTAACACCTGCATCTGTCCTCCTTGTTTTCCTTTCAGTGAAGACCCTGTCTTCTGCTGTCCCATTTTTCTCCACCTGTGAGTAGTACTGTTGGCTAGCCTGCAGAGGGCTAGTTTAGATGCGTTGGTGTTTAGCATGTCTGTTACTCTCCCGTCTTGTTACTCAGCAGGATAAGAACTGGTACAACAAACCTGCTAAGCTCGTTCAGAATGCAGTCATAAAATTTGATTTGTTTAATCCTGGCTTAGTATTACTCTGAACTCATTTGACTTGACTTCTCTATAGGTTCATCATTAAATGAACCATATTTAGTGTGACGGGTGAACCCAGTTACTGGCTTTGATACTTAAAAGGTGCACTTTTGGACAATATATTCCCTTGCTTTTCCTGGAGTCCTGAAACTTGGTCCTGTATTATATTTTGTACCAAATGCTTAACTAATCTGTTGTATACGTTCTTCCACTGTGTTCATGCTGTCTCATTCTGACATAATGCCCAATAATCTTCTTTGCCTTACCACTGTGAAATACTGCTTCAATGCATGCTGCTTTTGGAATATATTCCTTTGGTTTGTATGACCATAATAGAGAAATGTTGAATGACCTACAGTATTACGTAAATGGATAAATGCTGTGTTTCTGAGAAAGTAATACTTTATTATCTAAATCATTTTGCTACTCTGTACTAATTTTGATCTCTGATTTTAATATAATAGTACAGATTCAGGATGTTCAGTAAATGCATTAAGAGTGCTAACATCCCACTCAGTAGACATTAGTGTTTGCCTGAAAGGGACTATAATAACACAAACACATCCTTCATTTAAAGTGCCCACAAACATTTTTCCCTCATCTGAAATAGATCTATTTGTCTCTTTATTTCTAGAGGAGAATGCTTCTGATCTCTGTTGTGTGACTGCCTGTCTGGTTCAAGTTATGATGGATTCATACTGTAGAACAAAGCTGGGATTTCAGAGCCTTATTCAGAAAGAATGGATCATGGGAGGACATGCTTTCTTGGATCGGTGTAACCATCTGAGGCAAAGTGATAAAGAAGAGGTATAACTAAGCAAGGGGTCAAAGTTCTACAAAGATGTTCTGAGCAAAAGTATGTCTAGGGAGGGAAACTGAGAATCATGAAACTGGAAATGATGGAGCCTCTGTCTCAGTACATAGATTGCCCCAAAAATATGTCAGGGTCTCAAGTGAGCTCTTGTTCAGAAGCAAAAATATTTCAGTGAAGAAACAAGAAAGGCAGACAAAGCTTTGTTAGCCTTGATCACACTAAGCCTTCGGCCTCCAGAGCCCAAGAAATGTATTGCCAAACAAGCAAACCCTACATGCAGTTGATATAAATTAATCTATTCATATCTTACTCTGTAACATTTCAGAAATTCAGAAAAAAATTCAAAAGCTATGAATAGGCCAAAAGTTTTGGTTTTTAATAGAATAAGTATGAAATTAAATATCAGACACACTACTCAGAGTTATTTGTATTAACAGAAGTTAGGGAGATAGTTGTCTAATTACCATTGGATTCAAGGCTGGCTTTGCAAAGGTGGAAAAACTGGTGCTTCTTTCTGAATTGCTGGTATCTTCCTCCAAGAAGCACTAACTATTCTGTGGGTCCGATTCCCTCTAATCAGCCAGATGCAGTAGGATGCTAGTGCTAGAGCTAGATCCTAGAGAACTTCTTCAAGATCCAGAGGCTCAGAAACCTCCCAGATAGCTGAGTAATATTTTGCAGATGCAGTGTGAAATAATTCTGCTTTACCATAATTATTGCCATAGTTTCAAGCTTATACCCGTGTCTGATCACACCTACTTCTCATTCTCTGCGAGTATTGCTTCAGGCATCTTTTCTTTCATTTCCTACAGCAATTCATAGAATTAAGTAGGATTAATAGGCAGGGAGCAGCCACTGAGGAGCAAACTTCTGCAGTGCTTGCCTTTCTCTATTTTCCAGACTCTAACAAAGTACCCAGAAAAGTTAGCCTTTAGATATTGAGAAAAATCTCCAGGTACATCTGGACATCTTTTGTATCAGATTCATAGGCCTTCTAATCAGCCCTCCTTCTCCATGGAAGCTTGTACCTCTGTGGTCACAAGGGAGCGATCTACCAGTTTCAAACCACTGATGGAACAGGCCCCCAGAACCACATCATGTCTCAGGCCAGATTTAATGTGTGGTTGGTTGAGGGGTGGGGCCAGAGAGAACCTGGGACAAGCCCATGGTTTTCCTGGGATTGACACTAATGCAGTATGCAAAATCTGGCTGGACAAATTCAGATGGCTGGCTAATGAGTTAAGGATTAGGGTACGTGAAGTAGAAACTGGAACCAGATTTCTAATCAGCCCTTTCCTGAAATGGCTCACTGCTCTCTCTGTCTGGAATTAATGATCAGAAGTCAGCTTGAATTTATCAATAACAAGTTTGGCTAGATTGTCTTCTGTCAGTTTTGATTCAGGAATTTCTTTATCAGAACATGGGCCTGCTATGGATGAAATATATATTGATTTTAGCAAAATATCCATGACATTTTGATTGACAGGCTAATTAAGCATAGACTGATTGGCATGACAGTTAAGTCACATGCAAAGATGCTCATATATAGATTCTCATTAAAATAAATAGAGCTATTGAGTAGAATCCCACAAGATTCAGTTCAGGGCATTATACTTTGAAATGCTTTTATGATAATTGGGATGAAGAGCTAAGAAAATCTCATCAGATTGGCAAATGATTTAGAATTGGATGGGACAGCTAATATCCTAAGTTGGAAACACTATTTAAAATTTAAGGGTTTAGAAAAATATGTTGGAAAAAACGGAATTAAATTTAACAGAGACAAATACAGAGTCCTTCTCTTAGAAAACAAATCATATATAGAAGTAAAGAATCAAGTTCCCTGATAATAGTCCTTTTAAAAAGCAATACTGGAATATGATCCAGTATTCCAAGTTGAATATGATCGATGTGATGCAAAAAAGCAAAATGTGGTTTTTATGCTGTATCATTGGAAATATTTCCAAATAATGGGCAATAATAGCTCCACTTTATTTATCAGTGGTCAGACTCCACCTTGACTGGTGTGTCTGGTTTTCAGTATCACGCTTAAAGTATTCAAATTAATTGAACAGACTTGAAAAGATAGTGAGGATGATCAGGAAAGTAATAATGAAGAAAGCAAAGGAGTTCTAAATGCTGTAGTCTTCTAGAGTGATTAACTGGGTAGGTTGTGAAAAATTGTCAGGCCCAGAGAACAAAGCATGAGTAAGTCTTCCACGTAACAACCACAAGTGAGCCCAACATTTCCGTTGCTAAGCAGGGTGATTGTTAAGTGACTTTTCCCACATTTTTTGTCACAGTTAAGTGAATCTTCAGTGTTGGAGCAAACTTCTGGAGGCAAGTTGTTCCACTGATTAATTGCTCTAACTGTCAGGAAATTTCTCCTTAGGTTGTTCTCTTCTTGATTAGTTTCCATCCATTGCTCCTTGTCCTGCCTTCAGCTGTTTTGGAGAACAAATTGACTCCCTCTTCCTTATGACAGCCCTTCAAATATTGAACACTGCTGTCATGTCTCCGTTAATCCTTTTCATTAAACAAGACATACCCATTCCAGCAACTGTTCTTTATATGTTTTAATCTCCAGTCCCTTAATCATCTTTATTGCTTCTTCTTTGAACTCTTTCTAGAGTCTCAATATCTTTTTCATTTTGTGGCAAAATGAAAACGTACTCTGTGAACTGCTCGGGAGGGGCTGTTGTAGCCCTTTTCTTGCTTACTAGAGATTCCAAGTACTGCTCCCTCCCTCCAGACTACATTCTACCAGAAGAATATGTCACATAAATAGAATAATAAATACGAATTACAAAAAGGAAGATTCTTATTAAAGTAAGAACTGTTTTAAACAAAATTCCACCAGTTATCCAGAGAAGAGGTGTTAAAATGAAGCCAAGGGAGCACTCCTTTGGAGAATTTTAATTTCCATTCCTATACCAATCACAATATTGGATTAGATTAGATGGCCTAATTGGTTGTTTCTAACATTTTCATTCTGAGTTTTCAACTATGCCTATAGGCCCTAAAACATTAAAACCCTTCCCCTAACTCAGTGGTTCTCAACCTTTTTAATGCCGTGACCCCCAACCGGTCGTAAGTTGAGGACTACCCAACCGGTCGTAAGTCGAGGACTTTCCCTGCCTGGGAGCGCCACGCATGTGTGGTGCTGCCCCCTGCGCCGTCCGAGGCCTAGCTGGCAAGAGGCAGCGACGGCGTAGAGCGACCACCGGCTGGGCCACCAGCTGGCCCAGCCCAGGCAGGTAAGGCACCCGCCGGGCCCCACATGCGCCAGAAACCTTCCCTGCGCCCGCCGCTGCCTCGCTAGCCTTATCTTGGCCATGCCCATTTGGGGCGGCGGCAGGCAGGCCCAGGCGCTCCTGGGAGGCCACGGCAAGCGACAGCGCAGGGCGACCATCAGCTGGCCCAGCCCAGGCAGGTAAGGCACCCGCCGGGCCCCACGTGCGCCAGAAACCCTCCCTGCACTCGCCGGCCTCCCACCTCCCATTCCTGGCCCTCTTTTATTTACTTTTAGTAGTTGCTCAGCAGGGAGGGAAGCTTTCCTTGCAGCACCGTTTGCAGACTGGGGGTTTTGGCAGTCTCAGCAAGGCAGAGACAGCCTGGACAATTCCTATTGGCTTTTAAAAGCCAATAGAATAGGAGGGAGTAGCACAGCTAAAGAAAAGGGGAAAAATGGGGGGGAAATGGCGGACAGCCTTGTTTGGTGACCCCCATGAAATGGTCGTTCGACCCCAAATGGGGTCGCGACCCACAGGTTGAGAACCGCTGCCCTAACTGATGCCTCTGATTAGAACTGTAGTTCCTTAATGATTTCAGAGGCAAGAAGTGATAATAGAAAAATAAAGATAGTTATACAATTTGCATTCATATCAATGCAATGTAGTTAGTGCAACTTGCTAAAACTTAATAAATGCAACCATGGAGTAATTAGAACTTTTATGATCATGTTTTTCTGTGATGATACTTGAAATGCCATAAAAGCAATTATTTATCAAAAAAATTATCAGATTTATTATCAGTACTGTCATATCTTGGTATGCAACTAAAATGATTTTAAATACTGTTTTATGAAATGAAGAAGGGAGGGGTGAAATTCATTTGGTGGAAAGATTTTCCCCCTCCTTTTTTATGATAATGATAATCTTAGCAGTTCTTATGGAGGGATAGACCTTGACGTGCTAGAAGCCTTATTAAGTCAAGATTTGTTGAATGCAACACTTCAACAGTGGTGCTCAGTTTACTGTATCTTGTAATGTTGTAGTTTCCTTATTTTTTTTTAGGCTCCAGTTTTCTTGCTCTTCCTGGACTGTGTTTGGCAACTGGTTCAGCAATATCAACCAGCGTTTGAATTTACCGAAACGTATCTTACTGTTCTGTCTGACAGCCTTTACATCCCCATATTTAGCACCTTCTTCTTCAATTCTCAACATCAGAGAGATACCACCACGGTAAGACAGTTAAGAGGAAAATAATCTTCATTGCCCAATATAGCAGATAGAAACCGTAAGCATTTTCATGGCAATATATTATTTTGGAAGTGGGTTAAAAAGAGCTAAATGAGGAGTCCGTAGTCGAAGAAATGGACTTAAAAATAAAAATGATTCAGTGATTTCAGATGAAAATGAAATGAAAGGAAGGGAGAAGGAGTATGCCCCAAGATTTATATGGGAATAATGACATATTAACAAGTATAATAGAATGAATGCTACAATCAAATTTAGTATAGGCTTAGGCCAGAATTAAATAAAACACCATTATGTGCAATGATAAATATACTTACAATATAATCTGTTTATATTAACATTAATTAGTTCTATCTCTTTGGTGGTGATTTTGCCAGGCACACTTCCAAATACTGACCAAAATTTTGCTACCAGAAACTCCTACTTGTTTAAAGCTATCTGCCTTAGGGCCTGGTTACTTGAGGAACTTCCTGTTTCTCATAACATTTGTCTGACTGATTTGATCCTGCAGGGTTGACATGCTATGGGTTCCTTTGATTAAACCATGTCATCTTTCAGAGCCCCAGAAGCACCTGTTCACACAGAAGCACTCTATAGCAGTATGTGCCCTTTGCAGTGAGATCCTCCCCCCCCCCAAGATTTGGGTAGCCCCCACTCTGCTGTTTTTCAGAAGAATCTTGACTACCTGGCTCTTCACTCAGCGCTTTGGTGAAGGAGAGGGAGACCCTTCACTTCATCGCACTTGCCATCTTTTTTTTTTTTTTTTTTTGCTTTATTGTAGTTTCTTTCTTTGTTGTGAATTGTCATCCTGAGTCACTGACAGTCTGGCAGCTTATACATTTAATGAGTTATTATTATCTGAATACCCATGGAAGTTCTTAAATAAAGGTAGAAGTAGCATTTGTATTGAATCAGAATAAAATAAAAAATACGGTCAGTAGATTCAATTTTATTTGTGCAACCTTTAGCTAAGCCTAATAGTAGCATATTATAGCTTTGTAATGGTATTAAATCTGCCTCTAAAAAATTTTATGAGACAATATAATGGGCTTTGGAAACTGCCCACCCACATTTTAAGTAAGCACAAAAAATATTTTGCAAAGGAGAATCTCTGTATCTTGAGGCAATGAATTCTTATATTTTGACTCAGCTAATTCTGGAAGTCATTATCCTCTGGCTATTATCTGACAGTATTTTTCATCTTCTCTAACCCTAGAGGTAAAGGAACTCAGATGATACCATATTAGTATAATGTATAAGTGATCTTTAACTGTGATGTATAATTGGCCCTTCAAGGTAATGGTAGTATCCTCAAAATGGCTAAATTCTTAGTAGAGCAAGTACTTGATGACCTCCAAGGTCCCACCCAATATTATTATTGTTGTTGCTGTTGTTGTTGTTTGCCAAGCTCTAGTCTTCGCAAAGACTTTGTTCACATACAAATTAACAACCACTCACATATCTCGCTCACCCTCACTTCCCCCATTTCCTGAACTGATGATGTTACCTAATATGAATATGACATGCTGGCAATGCAAACTCTAGCTCAAATATCTACCGTGAGTTGAATGGAGCCTCAGTTCTGGGAAGCCCAGCCTCTAATCACAGGGCCACATTAGGGCCACATCTAGGGCTCAAGAAGTAACCCATAACCAATATGCTATACTTTCTTGTAGGGTCCAAAGTTTGAATGAAGGTACAGTTATGCCCAATATAATAGTGACTATATTACTATTACTGTCCAAGAAATAAGATAAAAAGGGAGTCATAAACATTACAAGAATGTTTTTAAAAATAATGTTGCTGTAAATGTAAATGATTTAACTGGAGAAATGTTAAAGTATGATTTATGGAGTACATTTGCAGTTTTGTTAACAGGTATGTGAAGACTGCATTTATGGAATTGGAAGAATGCTGTTTATTGTTTCACTATATAAATAGAAGGATAGTGAGAGTGAACAATTTCAGGGGCTGAGCTTCTTAGGAAGCCATTGAAGGAACTTTGATACAATGGGAACAAAAGGCAGCCTTAGCAAAATTTAGGGCAGAGGGTAAAACAGACCAGTTTTTTATTTTTCAGCAGGTCACCGCAGAGTGTATAAATGTAGAAATTTGTGTAGAAATTTCATTATGAGTCTGTTAATTTGGAGACCTTATATGGTAAAATGAATAAGCTTGAAATATGAAGTGTTTTACAGGAATTTGGAATTGAAAGTTGGTTGCTGAAAGCATTAAGAACAGTATCTGATAGTAGTATAACATGATGAGAGTTAACAATTGGCTGTTGGGTGTCCCATTAATTACCGTATATGCCGACGTATTAGGCGACCCGGCGTATAAGACGACCCCCGTCTTTATAGCTGGGCCGCATTCCTAGAACATCGTCTTATACACCGGAAACTACCAGTATTTCCGGCGTATAAGACGACTCGGCGTATAAGACGACCCCCGTCTTTGGCGCCGATTTCAGCGCTCGCGGAAGTCGTCTTATACACCGGCATTTACGGTATTTCATGGACTTACGAATAAATGTATAAGGAATGCTTATGGTGAAGATTGAAATTGATAGATTGTTTACTGAAGATGTGAAAATGGATAAATTTTAAAATCTACAAATGCCATGTAATTATTGAGCTTTAACCATTTGGCGACCATTTGTTCAGGGACTATTTGAAGTTAGCATGGTGCTGAATGAAGGTCCTCAAAGTTCTGACCATTGCAATGTCCACTGTGGTGATATGAACAAAATTTGGGTGCTTGGCAGCCAGAAGAGAACATAATAGAATAATAACTTTATTGTCTACTTTGAATGTACACTAATCGGCATACATTAGAATGAAATTTTGTTGCATACAGTTGTCAAAGGGTCACCACTCTAATATACATTACATAAATATGACAAAAATAAATAAATACAGAATTATGCTTGTACCCACATATATTATATGGCACAGAGAAACAACACAGAGTCTTGTTCAGATTATGTATGCATGTGCATGGCAAGAAAAACAAATCTTGCTAATTTACCAGACAGATGGGATAGGGAACAAAGCTATTACAGAATCAAGTAGTCCTGGTAGAAATTCTTTGAAACCTCCTCCCAAAGGGGAGCAACAGAAACAGACCGTAAAGTGGGTGTGTGGGGTCTCTAACAATGCTTTGAGCTCTAAGCACATAGCGCTTATAGGCAGCATCCTGAATACCAGGAAGTGAGCTTCCTATGATCTTCTCGGCTGTCCTCACCAATGTCTATCTGAGGCACTGCTGCCACCAAAGCAGACAGTGATGCAGTTTGTTAAAATGCTCTCAATCGTGCCTGTGTAAAAAGTGGCCGGGATAGAAGGAGAGAGATGTGCTCTCCTCATCATGATCCAGTTGCAGCATCCCAGGGTCATAGAAACAGACACAGCATCACCCAGATCACTTTCATGCCTAAAGCAGGACTAGAAATCAACATTTCCTGTTATGTAGGCCAGCACTTTAAGTACTATACCAAACTGGCTGTTTGATGGCTAAGGTTAACTCTGTTTAATGGTTAAGATTAATTCTAATGGTCTAATGAGCCGAGGTGGCGCAGCAGTTAGAGTGCAGTACTGCAGGCCACTTTAGCTGACTGTGTTCAGCAGGTCAGTGGTTCAGATCTCACCGCCTCAAGGTTGACTCAGCCTTCCATCCTTCCGGGGTAGGTAAAATGAGGACCCAGATTGTTGGGGGCAATGTAAATATATATATACATTGCTTACTGGTGTACACCGCTTAGAGAGTGCTTGCATTTAAAGCGGTATATAAGTCTCATAAATAAATAAATAAATAAACTTTGAACTAAGACATTCCATTCTATTAAAAATTGAAGTATCACAAATTGAAGCGTTGCAGATTGGAGAAAATGCATTTCTAAATTAATTCCAGACTTTTTTTTTTTTTTAAAAAACAGTATGGAGGAAGTCTTGATACAGAAGGCAGCAAACTTAGTTTTCTTTCGGTATGGGATTGGTCTGTGCAGTTTGAACACGAGGGTCAAGCTTTGCTTAACAACCCTCTTTATGCAGAAAAGCCAAAACTAGACAAAATTCAGAAAAAAGCTTCACGATTCAAGGTAAGATATTTGCATATTTCCACTGTAATAACTGGAGTATTGATTTTTGGAGTATTGAGTTTGATTTTTTTAAATGCCTTCCTAACAGAAGGACTAGAGATTCAGTGCAAGTTACTAATATTGATGAGGAAGATCAACATAAGAACCCTACAAAAATAACTGGAGGACTAATACAGAATGGGTTGCTAATATGGTAACCATTGTTCAATTAGGTTGGAGTATGTGAATTAAAATAGCTATAAATAGTGAATTTTGAGAAAATAAATCTTCATGAGGACTACTTGTAGGAAGTAAAAAGAATAATTGAAACTTTTATGCATTTTGTTTTAATGTGGATGTCTTTATAGTTCATATTTAGTACTTTTGTCCACTTTGCCCAGAAACTAAGCTGGAATTGAGTTCAGGTAATTCTGATTTTGTCTTCTAAATTTCTTTTTCAGCATCAGCGGCAACTCTCTTTGCCCCTGACACAAACGAAACCTCCCCCAAGAAGGGGATTTTTTAAGGAGGAAACAGACCAATTAATTAAAAACCTCTTGGGCAAAAGAATCAGCAGGTTGATAACTTCTTCCGATGAACTTCAGAATAGTTCCAGAGAATTCTATGACAGTTGGCACAGTAAGCCTGTTGACCTTCATGGACTCCTCCTGCCTTGTCTGGAAGGACCAGAAATCAAAGTGTGGGCACAGAGATATTTACGATGGATTCCTGAAGCTCAACTCCCTAGTGGAGGCGCAGTTGCCACTGCCACAAAAGTCTTAGATGTAATGGAGGATGTACAGGGTTTGCAGAAGAAAATGGACGAAAGGCATCGTCAGGCTGAGACTCAGGATGATACAGAAGCTTCTCCCTTTATGAGAAATCCTGCTCGTTTGTCATCATTATTTCCCTTTGCCTTGCTTCAGAGACATTCTCTTAAACCAGTTTTGCCTACCAGCATTTGGAAAGACTTGGAAGGTGAAGAAGATTTGGCCAGGAGAGATGATGAATATGTTGATCTAGGTGGTGATTAATGTAATGCTTCCTTTCAATTATAGATTTGAACCATACTTCTGTTCAGTTACTGGAATAAAATTGGTTTCAGGGAGGCACATAATTTCCTTTGGGTTGTATTCTGGCTAAAGATAATTAGTAAAGTTTTAATACCGAACGATTTCCACTTTGCTTGAGAACATGGATGTATTTTCCATAGACATTGGGGAGGGGGAGGATTACCTTATTCTTGATTAGGTTCTTCTGCCACAGGAAGGAAGATCGCTTTTTTTATTATCACTGTGTAAGAACCTGCTGAGACAGCATGGAAGGTAATACTACAGCCGCAAGATTAAACAAAAATGATTCTTTTCTCCAGCAACAATCTGTTCTATTTATTGCCCCCCTCAGTAAATGAGAGTTTTATCTTCCTACCCACAAAACATGATTGTTGAGCAGTCATGGGAAAAATTAAGGTGTTGAAAATATCAAGAAAGATCTATTGGAACCTGCCTACTTCAGTTTTAATAAGCAGTGGTGTCAAATGTTCAGCATTGGAAAACAGTCTAGTCTGGGAGGGTCATCTATTTTATCCTTGATAAAACTGATTTTTCTGAGGAGAATCTTGTTTTTTTAAGTAGTTTGAATTTGTCAGTTGTTTTAAATTTGAGCTTGAAAAATAAAGAGTAAAGACTATCACAAATCCTGCTTGTTTTGATCATCCATCCTCTTCAGAGTTCTAACACTGTGTTATTTTCATAAAACAAATGGTCTTGAGTTCATCTCACTTGAGTTCATTACTTCAGGTAATTTATTGCCCAGTACAGGAAGCAATTTACAAGGTATCAAATAAGCTAGAATTGTATTTATCAAAATTTTTGTAGGGTTCTTATGTTGATCTTCCTCATCAATATTAGTAACTTGCACTGAATCTCTAGTCCTTCTGTTAGGAAGGCATTTAAAAAAAATCAAACTGGACTTGTCATCCAGTATTTGTGCTTTCTTAAAGCATGACATTAACGGTAATAATGAATGTAAAGAGTCTGCACATTGGAATCTCAGATTACAGAATGATGCTACAATAATATTGCAGTTACAAAAGCCATACAAAAATGCCTGTTAAACCTAGTATACTTATTCTAAACCGATAGACTTCAAGTGTCATAAAAAAAACTAACATAATCCAAAATTAGAAGTACTGCACAGGATAGTACAGGACTATATTTTGGACATTGATAAAGATAGTACAACTTTCACCAACACTTCCACTTCTTGACTATTCTGGTTAAGAATCTCGGAAAACAGTTGTCTAATCCAGCCAGCTGTAGAATGAGAAAAAAATACATTATAATGTCTGATTTCTGAATTAGTTCTTTCTAAGTGCATTCCTTGCTTTGGATTATGTTCACAGTAACAAAGAGTCTGCTTGTTCTTTTAGTTTTGTTGGAAGCAAAGATAATGAATATTTTATTGGAATATGTATATACATTGGTGAGGATAAAAGCCAAAGTGCTAAAGTCCATGTTGCCTTATGCATCTTGTTACTATGAACTCTTTGAGTTTTCAGAATTTTGAAACACAATAAAACTTACTTGTATTGAGCCTTCTAAGAGCTAACATTTCATACTTTTTCCTTGTAATGTGTGCGGCATTTGCTGCGGCTCCTATACACAAATTTATAGCTGGTTGAATTGTAATTTGAATACTTTTTTAAAAACACTAACATTAAGCTTAAATATTTTTGACAGTACGATTGTAATATATTAATCGTGGAAATGTACTTATATTTAAGCTGTCAAATGTTTATAGAAAAATATATGGAAGAATTTTTATAATAGTTTATGGAATTGCTGCATTCTGGTCTTGATTAGAACACAGCACTGTATGAATGAAAATTATTTAAATGTATTTTTTCAGGTATTGTGTTATTACCTCTCAGTTTTTACACTGAATGCAAGCTTAGCTTTAACAGTACTTAAGAAAAAACCTTCCTGTAAATTCATTGTAATCTGTTTGGATACCTGTATTTGTTAATAAAATTACTTTTACTAATAATTTAAAAATAGTATTTGAATCATAATTGTGTTCTTTGTTCTCACACGTGGTGTCAGATTCGAGTTATTTTTGTATGAATGCAATATGAATAATGGGCCTATAGGGAGCATACATATAGCTGCTTTCTACAGAGAATTCTGAATCTACTTTACCTTTTGCTATGAGGTAAATGAGGCCCCAAATTTTAGGGGGGAAATATGCTGACATTTGTAAACCTCTCAGAGAGTGCTGTAAAGCATTATGGAGTGATATACAAATCTAAGTGCTATTGCTATTGCGTCTGAGGCATCCACCTCTATTGAGGGAAAGATTTTGCACTTTGGCATAGATGGATTCCTTCACTCTTTTCTCAAACCTTCTATCTTCCCTGTCCAAAATGTGAACACTATTATCCACATTTTCCAAATATTTGGGAAACATCACATATCTGTGTTCTTGAAACCCACCAACACATTAAGATAGAGGCTTGTCCATCCTAAAGATCAGACATCAAGACATAAGAGAAATGTGTTGCATATAGTCCCGTGCTGTGAAGAGTGTTCAAAGTTCTATGTTGGAAAAACCAAACAGCCTTGTTATGTGCGCCTGGCTACTTTCCTTTGTGACCAGAGGCAAGTTCGCCTGACCAATAACCAGCCAAGACACAGTGAAGGCCTTTTGTTTTGTTTATTGCAATAAGTGGGAGAGAAGTTATCACAAAGCTTGGTTCTCTCCAAAGTTTCAACCCAAAATATCTCCTTCTTTTATTCATCCCTATCACCGGCCGCTACAGCCCTCCTCTTTCCCCATTGGCTGAGGTAGTATGAGGTTACACTCTTTCCGTCTGCCTATACACATTTCCTGATAACATACTAAATCATATTCACATATACAATAAGAATAAGAAAAATTATTTTCTTATGGTTATTTTAAACTCAGATATATTTATGTCCTCATTTTAAACAATAAGTTCTTTTTCCTGCTTTTCAATCCAGTGTCCCTCTCTTCTTATCTTATTCAGCTTATTTTCCTGTTTTCCATTCAACCTTCCTGGCTAGCCATTTCCTATATATTTTTATAGGTTCTCTTCTTCCTTTCTCAGACCCAGCTATTTTTGCCTATATGGTTATCTTATTTCCTTAATGTTATCTCTTTCTGACTCTCACCATCTGTATTTTTCTTTCAATTCAATTAGTTTCCATTGTATTGTAGGTTTTAACTGACTGAAGATTTATCATATTGATGTATATTTATCAATCCCCCCTGTATTTCTGTATACTCTGATGAATCTTCATTTTTGGTTATATTAGATAACATAAATTGAATCTGTACATCTTCTCCAGAGATGTTTCTCGCTACTGACCCCAATGTTTTAGTGCAAAATGAAACACAGCAGGGTAAACTTTGGAGACAGACACAACATATAATACCTATCACAACTATAAACACTAGTCCTATAAATGTTTGTTTTAACCACCCAAAATTGGGAAGGCAATTTGTTAACCAACTCTAGTCACCCCACATACTTTTGTTCAGGAGCTTTGGCCACATTCCTGATTCCTTTTGCAATGTCCATCACTGCTTCATGATTATCATCTACCTTTAAATCCCACAAACAAATTTTTACCTTTATTTCCCAGGCTGTTCTGGTGTGTTGTCTTCAGTAATATTAGAAGTAGAATCCACCTCTCATGATTATTACACAGTATCTCACACCCACAAATTGATCCACAATTACAACAATAACAATAATCACTAGCTATTACAGAGGTAACACATCTACCACCTAATTCTTACAATGTACAATTCTACATTTTCAGTTTCTAATGGTATGACTTCGGACTTAGTTATTCATTTTATTTGTAACAAACAACTTTTATTTTTCTGATGAGTCACCACCAACATCTTTCTTCATCTGGGGTCACCTGAAATTCTAAAAGAGATATTCAAAATAGGTAGGGGTTCTGGTCCACTACCCATTCAAGTCCTTTTAAACATGGCTTTCAGTCCTTGTCCTGGAATAACCGTCCACCCTCTTTCAGGTCCAGTCACCACCTTTGCTCATGTGTAATGAGTCCAACCCTTCTCAGCCCTCCGGACAGCAGATTTAACATAAGGAACTTCCTTTCTTTGGTTGTAGTAGTTCCTCCTTCCATTTATGATTCAGCACCCACTGTCCCGGCTGGATCTTATGGACTGGAAATTCCAAAGGAGTTGTTTGCGCCACCAAGCCTTCCTGTCAAAGAGAAGACAGAGACCCCAGTACTTGTTCTACATTTAGCTATTTGTCTCCCTCCTTTGGGAGCCTTAACCCTTTATTAACCCTTTTACATATCAAACATCCCTCTGTAGCCCTTTGGGCTATCCCATAAATTCCAAGGGTAGCATAGAATTTCAAATACATTTCTACCTATGCTTTAATTCCCCAATATTTCCCTCATATAGTTTTTGGATCACCATTCTTGCAGTACCTTGTAATAACCACAGAATCCCCTTAAGACCATTTCTGTTGTTTGGTAATTATAAATCTATATCCTTAATCCTTTTACTATCTATTTTCCTTTCCCCTTCTATAATATATTCTAGATATTTTACCTTCTTTCATACCAATTGGGCTTTATTTGCTAGACACCCTCAATCCTTTCTTCTGCCAAAAAGTTGCTTTCCCATTTCTTTATAATTCCCAGAACAGATCTTACAAAATTGGGAAGCTACATAAAAAGGTATTTGCTTTCACATCTTAAAAGGGGAGGAAAGAAAAGAAAGAAAAAAATCATTTATCCTGTATCAGATAGACTACACTTGTCCATGGAAGCTCTATCAAAAATTGTCACATTTTTCTTTCTCCTCCCCCTTTCACCCTGATTAGATACCATGTTACAAAAATATAACTCAATAAACTTATTGTAAATAACACATTCAGGATTTTAAAAGGTAAAGCACATAGGCTCACCAATTAGCATTGGGCCAACATTTCTGGAATGCCTTTTGTCTCAGGCAAATAACATTCAAATCACTCTTGTGGCAGCACATCAAAGAACACCAGGATAGCTAAGAAGACAAAAGATTGTCTCCCCCTTCCCCCACTCACTAAACCAGACAAAAATTTATACAAAACTTTTGCTTGAAACAGCCCTCAGGAGGAAAATTGCCTTAACATTTACAAAAGTGGCTTGCCAATACCTCCTTCCTAGGGCTAAAAATAAACCAGCCTCAAAACACTCAGTCAACCCTCATGGCTAAAGCAGGATTTGAACTCAAATCCAGCCTTGCAGCCTGTGGCTATAACCCTGAAACCAAATTGGTTTTCTATAAAGATTTCCCTCCCCCTCTTTGGCTCCAAGGAAAAGGAAAACAAATTGTACACACACAGTATGCAATTAATCATCTTTTCTGCAGTAGCAAGGAGTCCCAAAGACACATATTTATCAGATGTTAAATAAAACATCATAAGATTGTTCCTTTGACAAGAATACCCTCAAATGCATTGTTAAGGATAAATCCAAACTAAAATGCAAAGGAAAATCACTGAAGCGTGCCATACATACAAAAACAGAATATCAGAGTTGAATGGGACATTAGAGATCCTCTAGTCCAACCCCTTACTGAAACAGGAAACTCTATTCATTTCAGACCCTATCAGTTTCTAACCTCCTCCCAAAAACCTCC